ATAACTGAAACCTCTGATAACATTCAAATTTGGCCAGTCGGAGCGCTCACAGAGCATGAGAGCGGGGGCCGGATGAGCTTGAGAAAGAATGGGCAACGAGAGCTCTGAATGCAGGAATAAAAAGGTGAGTCTGGGAAATAAGATACTGTAAATGTGAATCCACCAGATGAGTAACGGTGAACACAGTTTTTGTGTGTGAGTTCTGTTGAAATGTGGCTGGAAATGTCCCAGAGCCTAAACAAAATAAGCAAACCTCTGATAAGCATTCTTATTTGGGGGGGGAGTAGGATTAAATACATCCCTTAGATTTGAACCTCTCTCTCAAACAAAGTTCTCAAGCATGTTTAAATCTAAATCAATTTGATTTGGGGCTTAATCCTGACCAGTTTGAATGCATGCTATGATATATGTGTAATCCACTTAATCCTCACGAATAATCTGTATCTCTTCATTGTATCATTTTAAATAGTCAAGTTTAATTTAGTTAAAACTGACACACTGCATTTCTGACACAGTCTGCACCAAATGTTACAGACTTCTCTTGTGTTCACAATCACTTTGCCTGAATGTGCCTCAGATGTTTTATGCAATCACGATAACATAACTAAAGATTTCAGGACAATTGTGTTCAACTGTGGGAGTCGTACTTAAATTAAAAGGTTGGTGATAGCTAATAACACACATTTTAAACACTAAATCATCTAATTTACTACAAAAATAATTAATGTAAAATTACTTAAACTGTGCCTGGCCGACTGGTCTGAGTGAGATGCAGGTTTCCACTGAACTGACTGTGTACATCCCCATCAATTCAATCTTTCACCAAGAAAGATATTAGATGTTATAATAACTGTGAAAATAATACAGACGCGTTTCCGAAGGCTTGTCCTCGCGTAATTCATGTTAAAAAAGGTACGGCCTCTTGATGGATTAACGTAATTGACTGATATTGATTCAACATTACAGAAGCCACCGTGTACATTGCCTGCCCTCCCCTTAAAACAGTGTTCTGACCTTGTTCGATCACGATAAGCATCCCAACCAAACAACGCACCGTGTTTCATTTTGTCTTAGCCTGTGGAGCTCTGCGTACTTTAAACCTGAGGACAGGTCTAATGTGGAGACATAACTGGAACCAGATGTATTGACATGCAGAGCAGGGAAAACATGGGTGTACATGAAGAAAATAAGGACGAATGAATCTGTATTAGATGACTGATTTTCGGATATCTGGTATTGAGTGGGAGTGAGAGTAGCACTAAATCACAGCAGTCTCTTCCTGCCACTTAACTAAGTAACATCTGGCCTTTCTGTGCCCTGACAAAATGTTATTTCCAGAGAGGTTTTTTGTCTTACGAAGCTGGTTTTATCTCCCAGGTGATGGTTTACTGACGGAAGGGATGCATCCGTTTTTTTTTTTTTTATTCAACACTGATAAAGATGTTAAAAAACAGTCATTTGGCTGGCAGCTGAAAGCAATTTCAGTAATTGCATTTAATTTTAAAGCAAGGGGAGCAGTGAAATACGTGCCAGGGAAATTCCTGAATAGTTGGAGTTATTTTTCATTTTATCGCACCACTGAGGTATTTCTGAAAGAGAACAATTACTTTTCAGTACTCAAGTACACTAACAAGTTTTTTAAATTCTTGGCTAAATGAAATATTAATACATTAAGTGAGTTTCAGGGCAAAGTCAGTGTAACACAACAATAAACACCATAAAAAGAGCTTCTGCTAGTTGATGTTATCCTACATGAGTCAGTCCTTCATTCCTTGTCCATACCATTAATTCTTACATAAAACAACGGGTCCTAAACGACAGGATGTCACTTTTCAGTATGATTTACAGGCCTGTGTTCAGATCTTACACCAATGAAGCTGAAAAAGTTCAAACTGATTTTAATTACTGTGTGTCCCCAAAGAAATAAAGAGCCACTAAGGCTATTTCACACATTCCAGCTCACAGATTTGTCACAATACAGCACTTTTGGCTGTACATGCCTCAATTTAAGTTACGCAAAGAAAGATTATATTCACTAAATGGTGGAAGATTATGCAGCTATAACAGCTGTGGTTTTTCATCCCCGAATAAGATAGTGGTGACTTCAGAATGAGAAATGTGTTGTTGATACCATTAAATAAAAAGATGGCTATTTGTAATGGTTAGTAGCTATAGATAGTTAGTTTTGGGAGTAAAAATGAAAATCGATATACTTCTGTGCTCACGCTGTTATGCAGTTATCAAGGGGAAGATTTGTCAAGATAAGATGTAGCGGGCATTAATTCTCCAAACAGAGCAGAGAAGAACTGGGCTCAGCCCGTGGTTTTTGGCTAAATAGATTAGGGCCAGTCAAATTTCAAAGTAAGTGAACAAACGGTGATTGACTTAACGTATAAAGCCTGGGGACGTGATAACAGAACTGATCGTTTTAACATCTTAATTTACATGTGTGGAAGAGGTGGCCTGAAATCTAAAAGTTTTGCAGTGTCATTATATAGACTTAGAAAAAATGCTAGAATAACTAGACTTTCCTCACTCTGCTCCTGAAGCTTTGCACCACAAACAACTCATTACTCATACCTTTTCAAACCGTTTAATGCCCACTCTTCACACTCTTCATGGTAGAGTTAATTTGGCCACAGACACTAACAAGGAGGATGGGGGCGGGGGTGGAGGTCTGGAAGACTGAAAGCTTGATGTCTAGAGTTCACTAGACATCAATCCTGCACAATATTTAATAGTCAAGATACTTTCTACTTCCTCTTATGTGTGTTTCCATACTTTTTTCTTCAGTGCTCTTCAATTGAAAAGCCTGCAAACACAATTTAGGGTTAGACTAAAGCTAAAAACTACTTTCTTGGGGAAAATAAGAAGGTGTGTATATGATCTGTTCCTGGTGAGGCTGAGCTGAAATTGTAAATGTCTGAACCAGCTCAAACAGCCAAACATGTGCTGCTACATTCACGCTGTGGTAGATGTACAGGGGCTAATTTCTGAAGATATTTCTAGGCCAAGTGCTATGAGTGGTTGCCAGGCAACAAGAGGAAACTCTTTGAAGTTATAACACCAAAAATGATCATTGTAATTCTTCTTGATTGTGGTGTGGCCTTTGACTGAGTGATCTGAGTACTTGAATCAATTTATGACAAGCTTTCTTATTGTAATGCGCAGCGAGATAAAAGTTTCCCTCAAATGTGATAAAAGTGTGTTCACTGGTGCTTTGTTCACCCATACAGTCATCGTCAGAGTCTGTGACAGATCGCTATTAATTTACAGCTTTCTTTCCCCCCAAGAAAGAATTTTTAAACTATTTTCTTTAAACCTGGTGCGCACATTTGATCCAATTAAACCTGATTTTACAGAAACCTTCTGAGTGATTCCATGTTTCTCTCATACTATTTGTTCAAACGCATCTATTGGAGATACATGTAAGCATGTTTTGTACTATGTATGACTGTCTTTTATTGCTTTTGCAAGAGAAAAATCAACATGCAGAGCACAAAAAACTTTTTCTCGATTAATCATACTCTCCAGCAGGAGTGATTATATCACCTGTCCCCGTCTCCCTTCTCAGCCTGCGTAGAACTGGTTTTAAAGCGAGCTTATTCGCATGACTGCTTAACCCCCCTGCGAGCCAGACTGCTACGGGAGATTCTTTCGCAGAGCAATCAGAGTGAGTCCCGAGATTTTAGTGTCACAACAGGGACAGTGCGGGTCCCTCAGTGGACAAAGTCCTGCATCATCTTGCTGAGCTCATCCTCACTTTTATCTTCAATTATTCAGTTTTAATTCACTTGTTCCCTGCTGTGAAATTGCTATTTTGTCCATTTGCGCACTGCAAAGCTGCCATTAGTCTTCCCAATTAAGTTTAACTTAATGGAAGTAATTGGAGGTTGCAGATCTCAACTATTTTAGTTTCTTTTGATATTTTTGTTTCTGGTATCACTCTATTTAAAAAAAAAAAAAAAGATATCTTTTTTTGCTGTTGCACCATCCCAAATGAATTTACTGGGGATTTAAACCATCATATGCTTTAAACGGAATTGTTCTACATGTCTATTTTATATTTAATCAAAACTACTGCAGTATTGTTGTTAAAAGATAAAACCAAAAAAAAACTGCTGAAGAGTGATTTTGTTTTGGCATCAACTGTCACAAGGACATCAGCTTTTCCGTTTGGTTCAATGCTAACTCAACATTTTGGCTCAGGGGCGGATGCTAAATGACCTGAGAAGGCACAGTGATATAGTTCAGCGATTATACTAATGTATGCCATTTAATTTAATGTAAGAGTGGTGCACAGATATATATATCTGTAGGGAATTCTGTGTTAGTCAGCAGTTCAAGTAAGAATAAATTAATTGTCATATTTCCCTCTCTGAAAGAAGCACTTATGTCTGATCACTTTCTTCCAATGTCAGGTTTTCATTGCCACATTTAAAAGAAAAGAGTTTAATTTTCCTTTAATGACGATGCCACTAGATAAGCGGCTTCTCGAAAAAAACAAGCGAGTGAAATAATTGCGTGTGTTTAGAAAGTCCTAAAGCGAAGACAGACGTTTTAAATTTGGCCTTGCTTTAACTGGTGCTTGTGATGTGCCTGCATCTGATTCATCACACAGTTGGACGGTTTCCAAGAGGTCGCAGTAAACCGAGGAAAAAAACGGCGAGAAGAGCCAAAATGGGCCAAGCAATGGGGGGGAGGTCATTTTCCAGAGCTCCACCAACTGCTGCGTTAAACTGGCAAGCCCTGAAAGATGCAGATAGGTGGTGGATGGCCACAGAAGCAAATATTTTCACCTCCAGGCATTTTGCAAATATTATTACAATGTAGACTTCCTTTATTTGCTCCGGCAAGCATGATTACTTCCTTTTGTTTGTGTTTTATTTAGCAGTAGAGTCACAATTTGCAACTGAAGTGAAGAGCTGAGTATTTCTGTGCATTTTAATGGTTGAGTTGGTGGGAATCTGCATCGGTCAAGAAGCAAAAGGCGTCCTTACCGTAGTACCTGCTCGCCCTCCAGGCCCTGACCGCACAGTGCAGGACTCCGTCCAGCCACAGCAGTAGCCAGCTGATGCAAAAGCCCAGCAGCAGCCCCAACATCAAGTCCATCTCCTGCTTGGTCACACTGTCACTCACAAAGTAGTTTTCCGAAGAGTCCACCAAGGAATGGTCCCCATCGTATGGGATGACGTAGTGGACGTGATGCCTGGGGTGTGGACAGACACGGGAAAATGAAAAGGAAGCAGCAGATATGCAGCACGTATGCAGTTTTTAACAGACTCTTCCCAACTAAGAGGTTTCTCTTGAGAATTCTACATTTTAAAAAGATTGCACTAATCTGCACTTTGCAGGGAACCCCTGAAGCCTTCTCAGGGACCCTTGGGTGTCTGCAGACTGCACATTAGGCAGAAAAGTTTATGGTTGAGTTATCATTTTTGAGTTAGACTGGTCCACACATGGTAGGAACAGAGGTGACCACAACTTTTTTTTTTTATCTAGGCACCACCATCTTCCCTTTTAGATGTGATCTGATGTCCCTCAGAAAAAATGTCCCTTGTACTCTAGCATAAAAAGTCATTTTGTTATTCTTTTATAGACACAGGATCCCAGATCATCTTTTTAAAATGTCCTAAACAAGAAAATACTTCATTTAAATCGACTTCTACCTGCTGATGTTTTAAATCAAAGGAGAAAATGAGGATACATTATTAACGATACAGACACATCACACTGACAGAATATAGATTTTAAAACATCTGATGTTTCTCACAGGTTAGTGAACGTATCACTCTCGCGTTATACTCTCAGATTAAGCTCTGGTGGGCAGCCGTCGTCCAGATCTGCTCACATTGCAACATTGCCTGCGTCTGCTGTTTCTCTACTGTAAGTCGAATACTTGCGCTTGATGGGGAAGTCTTACCTCATCCCTTTCTGGAAAGGGCTGGGCTTTTCTCAGCCCAAAAACATGACAGTTGTCTGACAAATATTGTAAGGGAACACAGCAGGAGCGGGGAGAGCTGACGGCTGGGAGGGAATACGGATGCACTCTCACACTCGAGGACATTACGCTGATAACAGGTTTGGACTGATGGAGGGATTTTAAAGACATCTTACTGCAGCTATATGGAATAGTAAGAGACTTTTGAAACATGGACTGAAGCAGTAAGCTCCATAAACAGCTGAAAGTATTCAGCTGTTCTTTGTTTCTTTATGGTTACAGGGTGGGTTTTCAGTTTCACCATAAACTAGTTGCCTGCAAGATCATTTTAAACTGAGAATGTTTCATATTCCGGAGTAATCTTTACCGGCAAAAATGGATGAGTCACCTGAGGTAAAGTGGAAGTTATAACGGTGCTTCCTGTTGGTTTTGGCATCGACAGAAAAAATCCTCGCTCCAAGCATTTCAGCTTCATTAACCGAAAATCCACCAACTCTTGGTGATGGATGGATAACTTGGAAAAGCGTCGCTGAAACACTTGAGCACTTTGTATTAAGAGGGGGGATGAAATGGAGGAAGAGAAAAACCAGAGGAGCAACTTAAGTGTCTGGCTAGGGTAGCGTGGCCCTAAGAGGGATCAGCCCACACTGCTGGACCTCCCTGAACTGGGGAATGCAGCCACTAAAGTCCATTAATTATTTTTTATCTCAAAGTATAAAAAAGCCTGTTTTCCCAAATGCTGTGAGCAAAATCAGGGATTATTTCAACCTGAAACTTTCCCAAATGATCTTAACCCATCAAAGTATCACACTCGCCTTTTCTTTTTTAAAAACTCAGAAACAATCATTCTTTGTTCAAATATTTCAGTAGAGGCACTTAGATTAATGTTGTTTCATAAAAAGACAGAGGCCACTAGCATGGTTCTGGCTCTAGTCCGTTTGAAATTTGAAAGGGTTCAGCTGTGTCCAGTGGCCTCCGAATCCAAGCATGAGCGCTGCCAAATAAAAATGACACCGGCTGTGTCCTCCTGCCGGATGAGGGGGGGCACAGCGAGCGCCCTGACACCTCTGCGCCTCATGGATGGAAGGGCAGACAGGCACGGCACAAGCTTTCCTCCCTCCGTCCTCCTATATCTGCTGTTCGTATGAGGACAGGCGACTGACTCTCATCCAGGACTGTTTCCAGGTCAGTGAAAGACACTGTGTGGTTAAAGTAACCTGAGGACTGACAGGAGGAGCAAAGGTTTGACTCTGCACACTTGTCCAGTGGAATGGAGATTTATTTGAGAAGTAGCTTGATAAAAAAACAAAAACAGACACACTAATATGCCTTTTTTTTTACTTTAAAAAAGGAAGCCATGACAATCTAAACACAAAGTAAGATCAGAAATGTGCATTAACTTATGTAATCTGGTTAGTCTACATGATGCCAGTGTCCCTAAGAGGCCTTTCTAAACTCAGATGATCAATTTCTAACCATTTTAATCAAATCGAACTAATGATAACCTATATTTATAAGCTAAAAAAAGGTGAACTGGCTTCTTCGTGCTGCTAATGAGCTGGTAACACATCAGCCTCCACACTGCAGCACGCACACTGTAGAGGGGCTGTTTAGTTTTAATGTGCATCTGTTCAGCATGCGCCAACATGAACTGGTTGCCTGCAAGAAATGGGTCAATCAGGATCTAATATCTGAGGACAATACAGCTTGGAATCTGCCTAATAAGAAGACATTTCACTTCGAATTTAGCCCCAACGCTGTTGCCATCCCCTCCGGGATCAGTGGAGACCGAAGTCTGGGGAATAAAGGCAGACCTTTCCCCTCGGCTCCTTCGCAGTCCTGTCTGGAGCTGCTTTAGACGCACGGCAAACGCACAATAACTCTGATTAAATCCCAAGTCATCTATTAATAATGAGTGTCTTGCTGCTGTTTTTCCACACTTCAAACGCGCTCTGGCTGGGAGTGTGAGCAGCAGGTAGGTTGATGAGCAGCCAGAGCCCTGATCCCCCCCTCCTACCCCCCTTCTTAAGCCATAACCCCTTCACATCAGCCCCTCGTTCGTTCGTAATTGGCCCGGGTGCTTTTTTCTCTCCTCCGACACCGCGTACAGGCCCCCCCGTGAGCCGAGCATCGCACTTGATGCTCAGATTGTTGTTTTTTTTTTCCGAACGGCCGTACATCGCCCATAGTTCATTACCTATTTATGGCTCCGACACACACCTTCGCATATGCAGCAAAGCCTCCCAGCCCGTGCTAAAAGAGCGATATTAAACGCGAAATCGGACTCTCTAGTCCGCCAGAGGGAATAAAAAAACAAAAAAACAAGAACCTCTGTGGAAACCTCAGTTGCTATGTGAGAGAACAGACAGGGCGAATACAGGTTGGCTTTGCGGGGCTTCACCGCCTGACAATCTTCCAGGCCTCTTTTAGCAATTAAGACTTGACGGGCAATGGAAGAAAGAGAACACACACGCGCAGACACACACACACACACACACGCACACATGCTCGAAGCACCGTGTTTATCCGCGATGAGGATGATGGCATTTACCTTCCACAGTTGCAGTGACAGACGCGGTCCTCCCCTCGTAGATGCGGTAAGATGTAGTTGTGAAAGCGATCCAGTAGTGCGTTCATGTCCATTAAACAGGCTATCGCCTGCAAAGAACCACACCGGTCAGCTGGGACATGCCAATAGCTGTACGCTCTAACTAAAGACAGCTCATTGTTGTTGTTTTTTTTTCAGAGGCAACTCTTGCGATAAATACCGATCAGATTAATCAAGAAAAGAGCACAAATTCCTGTCTGCAAATCCATCTGACTCTGGGAGGTGGGAGTCCTGCCTTGAAACATGGACTTAGATTATTTATTTATGACAGCAGGTAATTATAGGTAGGCTAACCTACTTCCACATGTCATTGATATAGGCCTGCTCCAAGAGTCTCTCGGAAATCTGGTATATATTTATGAGAGATTTTGGTTTGGCTCTGCTCATGCTCGCCTCGCGTCAGTGAGGGAATCTGAACATCACACTGCTGTGGCCGAGGGAGAAAATGTCTTACCATTACAACTGAAGCACCAAGAATCATAAAAATCATGGTGGTTGTGATCATATGCATCCAAACTTCCAAAGTGGCCGCCGTGCTGTGGCCCGGGGGGGCTCTGCCCGCCGTGCTGTGGCCCGGGGGGGCCGGGGGGGGGCTCTACCCGCGGCGGTGGGCTGTGCTGGGCGCTCTCTTCGGGCAGGAGCCGCTCATGGAGCCGCCTGGCCGCTCCTGGCTCCCCGTGCCTTCAAACTGCCCGGTCACCCTCCGTCTCCTCCTACACACGGCAAGCCGCTCTGTCAGCCTTTCACTGGCCCCCCTTCTCCATTCAAGTGATCTCCCCCCCCCCACCCCCCAACCCCCTAACCCCGGTCGGTTCGGATGCGGCTGCTTCTCAATCCACAGAGGCGGTCGGATCCTAATTACCAATTCCAAAGTGATCCGGTCTTCCAGCTGCGTTTCTAGCCCTGTCCGACTTTTTTAAAAAACCATAAGCTAAAGAGACCACACGGATGTGATATCCTCGGATATCCCTCGATGCTTCCTCGGTATCCTCTTTCTCCTTTTCCAAGTTCCTCCAAACCCGGGTCTGCGCTTTAATGCCGGTGGATCCTGTCCTCCATCGGCGAGAAAAGGCTCGATTTCTCTCGCCTGGACGTTTCAGAGAGCTGCGCCTACTCCTCTCACGGCCATCGCCCTTGTCTTTCAGGGAATTCTTGATAACATCGACGCGAAGTCCAAATAGCTCCAGTCGGCAGACTAGACCCACCCAGCACCGGGAGTCCGGTCCGTATCCAGCAAAGGCGGCTGCACCAACACCCGGAGCCAGACGCGCATGATTATCCCATCCCGGCTTCCAGCAGCTACACCAGCATTCGCTCCCACCTCCAGTGCGTGTGCGCGCGTGTGCCAGAGAGTGTATACAGTGGGCGGTATAAGGGGGAAGAACCGCAAGCTCCCTTTACGGCAGAGGCTCAGGCTGCGTGCTCATTATTTATAGCCGAGTGGTCACCTGCAGATCCACCGGAGCGAGCTCCAGCAACGCCGCTCTTATTCTGATTAAAGCTTCTTTCCTCAAAAGGATTCTCCCCCCCCCCATCTTTACCCCGCAGTGCCCCCACGCATCGTTTTCACACACACAAATGTTGCCTTGCGCTCGATTAGTCTCCCAGATTCTGCTACTCTTCCTCTGCTTTTTCCACTCTGCGACATTTCTGACACTGACACTGAATTTCTTTTGGTAAAGCCTTCAACTTTAGCTTGTTTACATGCTAAATCAAAGAGACAGTGAAGCATACAAGAACCATAAAAGTACAGATAACAAGTTATGATGACCGCATGAGAAATGAATCAAAGCCTTCTCGGAGGAGATTGGTCCTTTCAGAGTCAGTTTTCCCTCAATGTGTTGGGGAAAAAAACACTAAATGCAAGCTGTGGATGTGTAATCCCTTGGAATTGGTCGAAATGGCTTTACAATGCAAGATGATCACATTAAAAAAAGAAATCTTCCATTTTAACTCGCATTGTAACTAATGATGTCGAACCTTTCAGCACCATGGACAGCAGCCAGAAGTCTTCGACTCTCAAGTAGTTATGGAAATCAAATGAATTCAAGGTTCTTTTATTCAAAAGCAGCTGAAGTAGAGATGACCTGTCTTGAGGAACTCGTCATCTTTCATAAGTCAGAAGTGTAAAACATCTGCTGTGGGCCCCCAAAGGCACACAGCCACTGCTGCCTGGTCCTCGAGTAAAAATAACCACAAAGGCAAACAAAAACGGGGACAAAAACAAATATGAAGCCTATTTCTAATGAAAACTGAACGACTAGCTAGAAAGCTCCATATTAAGAGAAGAAAAACTAAGTTGACTGCAGGTGTTATTATGGAACCTTGCGAACATTTAACAAGTAAAATGAAAAGTAAATAAGCAGAGCAGAAAAAACGTCTTAGGTCTAGAACAACCCTGCAGCAGATCTGTTTTCTCAATTCATTCCAATTGGCTCTACCCACACCCCCACTCCCTTTTTAGCAAGTAAAGCTGTCTTATATTGTGTTGCGGTTTCATGTCTCCAAGCTAAAATGTATCAGTGTGTGTGTGCTGGTCTGTCTTTCTTTCTTTCTGTTTGTTACATGGCAAACATCCTGTTTATTGCTTTTCAGCCCACTCCTCCCCCACGTTATGTTCACCAACTGTGTGGAGTCATCACAAAGAGCTAGTGCTGAGTAGTTTTACAAGTGTGACAGGAGGTGGATAGATTTTGAGAGGCAAGATAGCAGAGAAATTTGTCACAACCACCTACTTTGTCCTCACAGTCTCAGCATGAAATTAGACAGTCAGAAAAGACAGAAAGACACAGAAAGATAGACAGAAAGAAAGAAAAACAAATAGTTGTAATAGCTGTTAAGTTGTATGGGTTCAATAATTCTTTTAAATTAGGAAAAAAATGTTTTTTATTCCATAATTTCATTTTAAATGCCATTGCGTTTGACCCTTCCCCTTTACCGTACGTTTTGACGTACACGGAAATGCGTATGCGGAACTCAGTTGTAAACAAAAACGGAAAACCACTACATTCTTTTTTTTGGTGCCAAAACGTACACAAGGAGGAGATTTTTCTCGTTGACAGCAGTATATTTAGGGTACGTATCACTGGGTTAAGACGTCTTGGGGCTCAGTATTTACTGAAACTGGGAAATAATACTCTTTTTGTAACATCCTGTTATTTTTTTTAGCCACTTGCTAGTTGTCGAACCTCATGCTAGCTAACAGCTAATATGATACCGATATAATACTTCGATTGAAATCATGAACTTTAACTAGTAAAATCCCTTTAACTAATAAAACCATTCAATTATGACGCTATTTAGTACATAGTTATCGGTAAATTGTACTGATAGTAACAGTTTTTCAGTATGTGAATGAAAACTTACTGAACTGTTCCTTAGCTTCAGTTCTGTTATGTAATTACAGTAAAACTTGTCAAAATACCCGGCCTGCATTTCCAACATATCGTTTAATTTTAAAACGTTATCGGGTAAATGAAAATTAATCTGGAAATCAACTAAAACTGTTCTTCCACTTTGGCAAAGTTAAAATAACAGTAAAAACATGACAGAATTGATCTCTATTCCGTACATTTGATTGTTTAGTTCAGCTACACGATTAAACCATTTATGCTAAAAAAAATAAGTTTTTTTTTCTACCACAGAAAAATGCATGCCTCAGTGATATTAATTTTTGATAGGCAAGAGATATGTAAAAATATACAGCTATAGTCCTTGGAGCGTATGAAATGTCTACCTGATTTTAATTTGAACATTTTTGGTTTGAATACACTGTAAAAATGGTCAAATTGTAAGTAACTTATTTAAATACCTACATTTAGACAAAAAGACTAAATAGAATAATACAAAATACATTTTGAGAGAGGAGTCTTTTGATGATAACTAATGTATATTAGGATATCCGCTTACTTGTTAAATTAACCTTTTATGTTTCTTTTTCAATAGGTTGCTGATGGGTGGCAGGATTTAATGACGTATCCACGTATCACCATAGAAAGAGTTGTTTTGTTTGGTGTTTTGGGCCAAAAGAACCAATTGCAGCCAACATGTCAAGAAAGCAGACACCAAAACCTGTGAGGAGCAATAAAAAGAGTGAACTGGAACGCAAGAGGGATGACCGGGCAGCTCGGCGGGCCATTGTGAAAGACCGCAAAAACAAGCCCCAGGAAGGCGACGAAGGTGCAGAGTTTGTCAGCTTCTCTAATCAGCTCCAGGCGCTGGGTCTCAAGCTGAGAGAGGTCCCTGGAGATGGGTAAGAGCCTAAAAATGGATTTCTTTGGTTTTAAAGCTGATCTGATCATGTAAACCACGTCCATACATATATCATGCAAAGGCATTATGGACACCTTTTCGTCATAAGATTGTGTGCTTTATATAATAGGTTCTAAGGGATTCATTTTAAGACCTTTGCTTTTATGGATAAAGTTTGATTAGTGTTTAAGAACATTTTTGTTTGTGTCTACCAAAACATATCTTTGGATGTTTGCCATCCAGGTCCTGCAGCTACCACTGTAGTAAAATGCTTTGATTTAAAAATTTTAATAACATTCACCTAAGAAAACTCCGACAGCAACATTGAGCCTCTTAACTTCTCTGTTGGAATCAATGATTCATGCCAGTAATGCTGTTTTTATCCTGCAGGAACTGTTTGTTCAGAGCCCTTGGTGACCAGTTGGAGGGTCACTCTCGTGGTCACCTGCGGCTCCGCCAGGAGACCGTCCAGTATATGATGTCTCATCGACAGGACTTTGAGCCTTTTGTCGAGGACGAAGTTCCCTTTGCGCAACACTGTAAGGAAAGCCCGCACTGGGCAAGACTATCCTCAATTCTGAAATGATCCAGATCTACTAAAGTCTAACTCACCAAAGGCTGCTCTATTATGTTTGTTTATGTGTTATCATTGATTTCTGTGTGGTGCAGCAGTGGTTTTTGCTGTTTCTTGCATAGTGAATCTGATAGATGCATGTCAGCAGTTCTTGATAAATGTTTTTATCTAAATAAATAAACCAAAACCTTTGATAAAGTTATCATCTACCCTCTTTTAGCACCACGAGATTTAACTCCAAGTGATCAGCTTCATTTTATTTTACGGTTTACAAGCCAATTTGAACCATTCTTGTGTTTTGTTTGATTATGTTGGCATTCTTAAGAGTGTAAATAATCTGTTAGTACTGATTATACTATAGAAAACACATAAAAACTGTTCAACACTTGTTCAACACTTTCTGTTCTAGTGTCAAACCTTTCCCAGCCTGGTACGTTTGCTGGGAATGACGCCATCGTGGCTTTTGCTCGCAGCCAACAGGTGAAAGTGGTCATCCATCAGCTGAACACGCCGCTGTGGGAGGTAGGCCCAGAGCCACAGGAGGAGGCTTTCCAACCAAATCGCTTTATACAATGAGCTGTTACCCATGTCGGGGCACAGTTGATTCTCTTCTGTTTTCTCTCAGATAAACGGCGCGGAGAAGCAGGTGTGCAGAGAGCTCCACATCGCCTACCGTTATGGAGATCACTACGACAGCGTGAGGCGGATCGGAGACAACTCTGAGACTCCTGCTCAGCTCCGCATAGAAGTATGTAAAATAAAATGAGTCAAAGCCAGGTTGTATGCACGCTTTCTTTCTTTCGTTTTTCTTAAATTGCCAACGTCAATATTCCCCCTGCAGTGCAGCCTCACTCCCACAGCTGTACTTACTTATCTCCTCATTTTAAACATTGAATTTGTTTTTTAAAAGAAACCAGCCTTACATGTAAATACTAAATAGTACCAGAGTTTCCGGCCTTCCTGCGCTCCTCACTGCTTCTCTCAAACACTCATGTTAGACTGTCATCTGCTTCTAAATAAAAACTGTGCTACTTTTAGACTTCACTAAACATACTGAGAAAAACAGAAAATGGATTGAATTAAATTTGAAACTTTAAATAAGGTTTAGTTATTTATTTATCTTGGTCTGTCACCATTTCTCTCCCCAGAATCTGCAGAATTCGCACGGCCATCAGCGTGAGTTTGGAGACGGCCAGCGGGAAAGACAGAAAAAATCCTCTCCAACATCGTCCGAAGAGGAGAACGTCATCTTGAGCTCCATCAAGAATCGAGGAATCCAGGGTCAGAAGATACATTTGATTCATTACTTGCAGAATGAATAAGACCATCAGGAATCAGCTCAGCTACAGACACCGTAACCTTCTTACCCCCAAAGCTACTATGTCTAGCTGCATTTTGAATTAAGCTTGTCAGTATCAGAGTGTTAGTGACAGGCTGACGGTTCATGCGTTTCCCCCCCTCAGGTGATGAGGAAAACCTGCTCCAGCTGAGTGCAGCAACAATAAATGCTGAATGGCTGGTTGGCTCCTTCCTTGGCCAGCCGTGCCAGGGCCACTGCTCCTCGGGATCCTGCTCATCCTGCAGAGGCTCAGACTGCAGCGAACACAAGCAGCCAGCAGAGGGCAGTAACGCACAGAAACTAAAGGTTGGAATTAAGAGTTTTGCCAAATAAGTCCCATTCATTTAAGTAAGAAAATTCATTTTACAATATCCCGTGGCTTTCAACATGCAAATACCAGATTCCCCTCCTTTTATGTCCATCTCAAGAATAGAGATAACAATGTTTTTTTTCTCCTGTGCCCTCAGGTGTCGAACAAGCAGAGGAAAGAGCAGCAGCGGCAAGAGAAGAAGAAGCGTCAGGAGGAGAGGCATCGGCAGAAGTTTCTCCAGAGTAAAGGAGGCTATGACCAGAACCAGAACCTGCCAGAGGCTGTGACTTTAGTACCAGCTCTCAACACCCTCAGTATATAGACTGGAGCATGGCCAAAATTCCTTCACTCCTACTTTAGCTAACGGTGGCTGTCCACAAAGTTTTGCACATAGTCGACATCGAGTGATTCTATCGCAGAAAACTTTTCCTAAAGAGAGTCCTATAGTTTCTTCGCAAAGAGTACAACTGTGCCTGCAAACGTGTGAATGCGGTGTGTGTTGTCAGAGACAGAGAAATGAACCCACCTTCAGTATTCCCGATGGATTTCCGCTCGGTTGGGTTCCTGGTTTGTGTGTGTAGAAACTCCCGGACGTGGTCGACCTCCTGCGCTTCCCAGCTCCTTTCTGTGCCGGACACCTGGCTTTCCATGACAACCATGCAGATAATCTTGCGCGATCAAACTTTTTTTGATTTGCCACAGATTGAATTCACATTATTTCCGATTTTTCTGTGATCAAAGAGGAACAGCGATGATTGTTACGGTCACTGTGTCACGTGGCGAATCACAATAATAAAGTACTGTTTTTTCTCTGAGCCAGAGAGCATCTCACAAATGATCAGGTGCAACGTGTTTGAAGGCTTGTGTGTTTCATGAGTGTAAAATCATTACAGAGCAACTTCATCTTGTGAAGAATTTCTTTCAGAAAAAGGCTCAAACTTTAACTCTGACTAAAAGTTAAATCTGTAAAAGTTCAGACGTGATCTCATAAAACTACGTTTGATCATAATTTAAGAATTATGGCAGTCTGTCAAACAAATGTCCAAGAGGATAAAAGTATGATGCCATGACCTTTCATATCCAAAAGATCAGGCTCACGTGACCCCATATTGCTCTTACAGAAACACTTACAGCCGTTATTGAAGGCTATGACTCCAGAGCTGAATGGCAGAAGGACAACATCCCCGGTGCTCGCTCACATATTAGACTGACAATGCTGATGCTCGCTGGAAATCTAAGTAATCAAGTCTTTTAGAATGCTGTCTTATAGATATACATGTCCAATTTTCCTCATTTACAGCAGCATCCACATTTGACACATCTTATTAGTTTGTTTTTTAAATATAAAACTGTAAAAGCACTTTTGTTCTTACTCATGCTTCTATGGTGTTGAACCATATAGGAACAACACATGTTAGTGCGGAAAAATTCATTGCAACCATAATTCAGTTGAATGTAGAACCGGCTTGTGTCAATTTTTTTTTAAGAGAGAAAAAAAACTTTCAAATAAGCCAGACCTATCAAGTGTCTTTGGTCATCTTTGACATTTACCTTGCTACACGTGGCCTGCAGCCGCACAGGCAGCTCCGTGGTTGTTTGCTGTTCTTTCTGAGGATTGTGCTGACCTTGCCGTTCCATCTGATTAGCAGCTGTTGTGAAAGGCTGACACAATAGCTGACGTCCTTCTGCTCGGCCTTGTGTTAGCACACGACCAGTCGCTCCAAAGCAGCAAACTTTCTGCTTTCCTGGAACTCATCACATTCACCAGGAGCATTTAATTAGATGCGGCTGCTAATGACCGTATTAAGTCCTGTGAAGCCTGTTTTCCATGTACCAGTTCATCATTTTAGTTGAGATTGTGGTAAATAATAGCATAATTAAACATTTCTTGTGCCTTTGTTTATCTGAGGTCGTATCTATGCAGGCTTAAGACCCGGTAAGCACGAGATTATATGTGTAAAGCCTAAAATAGGAGAAACCATCATTTTACCATCACTGGAGATAAACACCAGTCTGATGATGCACCATATGTTGGCCCATTTAATTGGAACTAGATGAACAGCTTCACTGTTTTAACTTAGAGGCTGACACCATTCTTCCCCCATTGGAAAAAAAACAAATGCAACTTATGAAAATAATTGAAAATTCAACATGAGGAATAAATTAAATGTACAAGTTTTGAAGTAAGTTTATTTTTTTTATCAAAACCACATTAAAAAATATTCCATGAGCTTCATAGCCATGAACAGGGTCACTATGTACACGTTCTGTAAAAGGCAGCTTCAGACCTGCAGACCACTTTAATGACTCCTTACTGCGAGGTGGCGCCACCTGCTGAATGACATCATCAGACATGAACTAAATAATGTCTTATTGCTAAAAACCTGCACTGTAAAGCTGCGCAATGACAACTTTATTTATTAGCACGCACATAACCTCAGGACTTAAATAAGGGAACTGATGTTTTATGCAATGTGTTCCAACTGATGCTCATTTATGGAGCAAATTGTACAAAATCACATTTGAAACAATTGCGAACTCTGAAAAAGGAAAAATCCATAATACAGGTCTGAAGTGTCTAAAAGAACTTGATGAAATAGTCAAAAGGTGTCCATAAAGAAAACTTCCCCCTAGTCTGCGTCTTAGTCGAAGGGGAAAAAAAAAAAAAAAAAAAAAAAAAAAAAAAAAAAAAGAGTTCAGCGAGGCTCAAAGCTGTTGCTGTGCTAGAAGTCCTGCCGGATGTTCTCCTTGTTCTCGTCGCCTTGCTGCTGTCTGAGCTGAGCCACTTCGTTTTCCAGCTGGACGATAGCTCGCTCTATCTCATAGTTCTTGCTGACCAGTGACACCCAGCTGTCAAAGGGGAAAAAAGTACAGATATTAAAACAGAAGGGAAGCGAAACACAAACGGAGAAATAAGCGTGCAAGCTATCCCAGTAACATACTTGGATTCAAGCTCTCGCAGTTTGGCTCCAGCTGCCAACTGATCGTTCTTACGCTGCCAGTTCAAATCCTGGATCTGTTTCCTGTGCGCCAAAATGAATAGATGTGTACAAATGAAAGCATCCAGAGTGGAACTCATAAAAAGTTCATTTTATCCAGTCATCACTCACCTGAATTTATGAAGTTCCTTTTGAGCCATTTCAATCATGCAGGCCAGGTTACTGAAGGAGGACAGCACAGAGTCAGCATCTTAAGAACAACTCCACACACAGTTCAGACCGACAAAAGGCTGCCATCACGTACTCGTTGTAGAATTTCCAGGCATTGGTTCCATACTGCGACATGATCTCCAGGTTCTCGATGCGGACCGCCTGGTGCTCCAGCTGGGCCATGGAGTTGTTGACACACTCCTGCCACGCCGTGATGTCATTCTTCTGCCCCGATGTGGGCGCTGGCAGCTCATATCTGCACGAGCAGACGGCAACACAAACATTTGGAAACACCGAATAACGACTGGAAAGACTTTGGAGGCTGGGATAGAGCTTTCGTTTCCATTTTCTTTCTACAAATTTTCTTTTTGTTTTTCAATTATTTAAAGATTTCTCAGGGATTCTGTGTGTAACACCATGACTGGTGCGTTTTGTCCTTCAGATTTATCCAATTTTGGATTAGATTTGACAAATTCTTTTTAAAATATTTGTGAACCGTATAAGCTATATGTTGATCATAGCCAGAATTGCGTCACTGACAGGATTCACCTGATTTACCTCTTCATGCTCAGGAGATCCATGGGCTGCCGGGCCGCCAAGCGCTCAAATTCATTCCTCATGATTTCTGTCTGAGAGGCAAATAAATCAATAAAAGCTGTGACTCTTTCATCTTTCAGTGCATCAACACCTTGAATGTCTGATGGGTTCATCACCTCAAAAGCAGAGAAGTCAGGCGTGGGTAGGTAACTCAGGTAGTTCTTGGTGGGTCGGTACCTTCTGGTCTCCTCCTCAACCAATGCTGCAGCCTGGAAGATTATTCTCAATTTATACATAAATTTATACAACAACAGATATGAACAACAAAATATCATTATACCATACATTTTTACACAGGAAACTTGAAAAGCTTGAAAAGACTTGATAAGCTGAACAGGTTGAGGAAAATTAGAAACATATTCAAAAGAAAAATACAAAATCAGAAATGCCATCATTTTTTAAAATTCATTATATACGATTTAATCACCTCAAGCTAAGTAGTATACAAAATACAGAGAAACGTATTATTATCAACGTATGATTGAAGTTTATGAATGGACAGCTAGCATGAACGCTAAATTAGCATTTAAAAGAAAAACACCAAGCTCGAGATATTAATGAGTGCGACAGTCTTTGACCATGGCTCCACTAAAAGTGAGCCCCACTAAAAACCCGGGGAATGACAAAAAATAACCAATTTGAAAAAGCTAAATGACCCGGTGTGATATTTCCAAATAGCCTGGTGAGCTCACACGCTTCGGTTTTCAAATGCTCGTTTACTCACCGCTTCTCTGACACCTGCAGCATCATAACCTTGGTCAAAATATGGCAAAGCATCAACAAACACCTCACCAGCAACTGATGCCGTCCCGGCCATTTCTAGCTCGTGCAAATATAGTTTGAATTGCTGAAATGGGTCTAACGATGCTATAAAAATTAGTCGGCTAACTTAGGGCAAACGTTTCCGGTAAGGTGTACGTCAAAATGGCGGCACCCGTTGGGTGGTGACACCTCGTGGAGTGGAAGGAAACTACAGTTTGATGAGGCCACTATAACGAGTTCCAGTTAAAAAGAAGAAACAGCATTTATTGGGGATCATTTATTTAGCAGCAGCGAAAATGTACAAAATGTGCAAGTGGGTTGAGAATGAAAAACTCTTTAAAGTACAGAATATTAGTGCAGAAAAACAAATGTGAAAGAAAAGTGAGATTGATCATAAGAGATAAGTAAAAAACAGATACTGTGGTAAAGATTTTTTTCTGTTTGAATGTTCTTTAAAAATGACTTTTAAATCAATTACAGAATGATGTCCATCAATTAAAAAAATGATTCACAATATATTGCATTCATCTGTTTGTATCTTTTTTATTTACACTTACAAAATTAAACAGTTGCTTTGTTAGAGTATAAATTACTGCTGCAAAACAGTGACAATAACTATACATATCCATCTTAAGGCTAAAATTTAAAACTAAAGAATACCAAATAAGCAAACAATCTAAACCATAACCTTTAGTCGTAATTACAACATCTTACATAAGATAGCACAAATGGTAAAATATACTTTGCATGTGTGTTTTAAAATTTTTATTTAATCACTATTTTCTGTACATTTTAACAGTTTTTAAGCAAAGTTTTGACTATTGAAAGATGCAGAATGTCTCAGTATCAAATATGATACATAAGAGTACAACATTAAAGGAGTAAACAGGAAACAGACAGCCTATGCAGGAAACTTTGTGCATGCATGAGGAAATGAAAAAAAATCACATTCTTGCTGCTTTAATATCATAGTTTAATATGAATACATATAAGAAATATTATATATTATATATAGAATATTATATATATGTGTGAGGGGGTTTAAAAAATTTAGGTGATTCTTTCTCAAACGTACCCAGTTTTTTTTTTTTTTTGGGTTGTTATTTTAACCGCTTTCTTGTGCCAGTCCTGGAGGCTATGGCTGTCCAGCCTCAAACCCAGTTTCGGCTCCGCAGCCCCCCAGCATCCTTGAACGAAAAGAAATTATGGATGGAAGGAAAGATCTATAAACTGCTGTCCAAACAATATGTAAATGCTCTTTTGTTTCATAAATACTTTAGTGGTTATGGACTTGGTGCTTTATTTGATGTGATGTGGCCGTTTGTGGTCAAACCACAGAGCAAGGACAAAAGACATTGTTCATTTGAATAATCAGATTATGTGTGGCAACTTCACCATCTGTGAATGTGGCATTTTAAACAGTAAACCCAGTTTCACCCCACCAAGGACTAGAAACCAAATTACTAGAAAAAAACAGCATACATTTGTTATTCTACAACGCACTGAAATTTTGATTCAAACATTTATTAGGGGGGCCACTGCCAGCGGCAAGGCCCACTGGCAGTGGGCCTTGCCGCTGGCTTTCTGAAGCTCTTTTCATTAAATATTCATATTACTTGTATTTTGAACAAATCCAAACGGCTTTTCATTGTTTTTGTATTGTATTGTATTTTATTATGTTCTTAAAAAATACAACACATTTAGTTAGACTAGATGGATAGATAGATAGATAGATCTGTTACTGTCTGGCCATGGAATAAAAACAATCGAATAAACATTGGTCTATTTTGACGTGATGACGTATCTGTACGTACTCTTGATTCGAGAAGTTACGCAGTACGTGCAGTGGTTGTAAGAGGAAGGAAGATGGCGGATAACAAAGGCGAGGAGGATATGGAACCGTCAGCTAAATTGGACTCAGTGCCTTCAGCACAAGAAAACGAGCATTCGGAACCAAATAGCGATAATGCTGTTATAGTAATAGAGGCAAATTTGAAGGAAGACGCTGAAACCGAGTCTCCCCAGAACGCAAACGAAGCACCTACACCCACCAGTGAAGGAGGGGACGACGTTAGCAGCGCTGGGACTGTTGTTGCGGCAGGGGAAGCCAATGGTAGCGTTAGCAACGCCGTCAGTCCTGCCGATACCAGTAGCACAAATGCAGAACCAACGGCGACCGAAACTCTTGCCGCCGCTGATGCTCCAGGCGGCGGACCCGCCACGGAAATGTCCCCCCCTCCCACTGCTCCGGCAGCCACACCGGTGTCTACGACCATTAATTTACTGGAAACCTGCGCAGTGTGTAAACAAAGTCTTCAGAGCCGAGACTGTGAACCAAAACTTTTGCCTTGTCTCCACTCCTTTTGCCTAAAATGTATCCCACAGCCCGACCGACAGATAACCGTCCAGGTGCCTGGACCGCACGGACAAACTGACACACACATAGGTGAGTTTTTTTTTTTCCTGTGTAAAGACTTACCTGTCAGAGATTAAAAGGGTGTCCTGTCTGTGGGGAATTCAAGTGTCAACAGTTGGAAGGATATGGTCCAGCAGGTGTGTGTACGAGCAGGAGCATATCTGACAACAGCTGATACTGACACATTGTACCTCTTGCAGAGAGTAGTTATCACCTCTGAAACCAACGGGCGGCTGTGACTCTCCTGGTGATTCTCAAGTGATTCTCAGGCATAAATGGGGTCATTAGCAAGTCATTCGACTGGTTTAGTGATAATTGTGCAAGTACCTGGATATAGTTCACCCAACGCCCGGTCATAAATGTCAGGGCCAACGGCAATGCAGCAGTGGATGCTGATCCAGGGCTGCTGGTGCATCACTGCCTACTCTTGCAGTTTTTAACACTGGACTTATACTTGATTTGATATTTTAAATAGATGTTTGCCCACAACTGCTCACAGGGGCTCGATAGAAACCTAGATGTTATGTTACAGCTTTATTGACATACTGTATGAAAACCAAGTTTTGCATTTTCAAATGTTTTCCCCACATACCTGCAGTGCCCTCATTTTAAAATTATGAACCATTTCCTATAAATGAGAATATCTAGATCTACTAGTTTTTTTAGCGCCAATGTGGAAGTCTGGCATGATGTCCATACGCCATATTTAAAGCAGGTCTTTTCTTTTATTAGGGCAGTGCAGAATCTGTTGAATAAACACAAATGTGTTTTACTGACTCGCAGCTTTTTTAAATGTTGCACAGATCACACTGTCTGCTCAGACCACTTTTCTAAAGCTTGATGGTCACTTGCTTGGCAGAAGCCCCAGTAGTCCATCAGCAGGAGATAAGCTTATGTATCATAGACTACAGAAGTGGTCACGGGTTAAATATAAACTACTGTCCCTGTATGTTTATTGAGCAATCCAAAAGCTCTAATCTCTGCTTAGTAAATGAGCTTTTCACAGTTTTTTTTTTTGGGCCAATTGAGTCCAAATCTGTGACCGCCAGATTTGTCTGCTCACAGCTGAGCCACCAAATTAAACATCCGTCTTGTCTGCCAGCCAATTGTCGGCATCACGTCTTGCAGCATAACCAACAATAAATCAAGTAGTGTCAACAATCCTTTGGATACTAAGCTTGTTAACGTTACACCTGAAACGTATCTGTACTGAAATACATGTTTCATGACATAGCCGTCTTTACAGTCTCTGCAGGTTTACGTGCTTATATGATGAGACTGATGGAATGGTTTTTTATTGAATTAAATGGTAATGTAAATATTGTGGCGGGATGACGTATTTTAGTTCTGTTTTTTAGAATATGCTGGCATCTGTCTTCCCTTGAAATGTTCTTCTGGCCACAGTTGCTGGCAGACAGCTTGAATGAACTTTGGGAAGTCGGGATCTGGCAGCACTTCCTCCCGGTTTATGTGGGGTTGGACTACACTCTAATTTTCTCCTGTCCTCTGTTAGATCACTTATCAGAAAATTATTAATTGACCAGCTTCGCTTGAACAGTTTAGACTTTTCAGTTTTTCAGTAACTAGAATTGAAGTATTTTTTAACATGTCTTCACAGAAATTATTAGAAGGTATTTCCATACTGGGAATAGTCAAAACATTTACCTTTGCTACCCATTAATGATATTAAACTAAGTGCTTTAATGATTAAAACAGCCTAAGGCTAAAACAGGGAAGGTACTAGCAATTGGAGTGGCTGTCAAATGAAGTAGAATTTTATTTGTCGTTTGAGAGTAGTGTCTCTTCTTTATCCACACCAACTTTGGTTTTGATTAAAAAATGTAATGGCAGTAAACTTCTTTCGTGTCAAATATAATTTAATCCAGATTACTTTTATGGCTTCTCTGACTTTGTTTTAGAGTTGTAAAAATCAGACTAATGGTCAGGTTGATTAATTTGAAACTTATGGGGAGTTTGAAACAAAGTCTCATTTACTCAAACTGATGAATCAGGCCACCCAGAAATGCAATTGCCAAGTCAAATAGCAAAAAGTTTCACAATTGTCATGTTGGAGTTAATCTTTTATTTCCTTCCTTATAAATCTGGATATTTAAAATGACCTCATGTGTTCTTAAGATGATTTGCCCAATAAACACAAGTTAATCTAAATAGTACAATACTCACAGATAATCAAGCCCTTTTTTTCAGTGTTACTTAAAACTTTGATGCTGAAATTATTAGAATTAAAATGATTTTTTTTGCTGTTGTCAAATTAAATTAAAACCAAACAAGCTTTAGAATGGCTGACCAAAGTTAAATATAATTTGTAATGACTACAATTTTTTTTGAAGATGAGTCCCTCTTCTGGTCTTTCTCTTTTCTCCTCTTTTAATTAGATTCCATCTTCATATGCTTGCCCTATTTTACTAAATTAAAGGAAACAAAACTCTAATTTTATATAAAATTAAAAAAACAAAAAAAAAACATCTTTGTTTGTGCATGTGTGTCACATGCAGAACTAGAGCGGAACTCTCCAGATGTGCCCCACAGCTGTCAGTGGGGTGTGTTTGTGGCTCTTCAATGCAGTTTTAGTCCAGCTGCTTCCACCGCCTATCACTCAGGAGCCCAGCCAGATGGAGCTTACACAAACCGGCTGTGTGCTGCTCATGGCAGTGTAGGCCGGCTGAAACCGGCTTATACTGGTTTTTACCTCAGCTGGCTTTGGGGAAATTTATGGGTTTATGAGATACAGGGGACCCAACATATCAAAGTGACTTCATTTAAAGGCTTTCTATGCACTTTTATATTGCAACTAATTTTAGACTTCAGAAATTAAGCAGCAAAGTTAATAAACTCAAATAATTTTTGGGGGGGTGTATAATTTTAACACTAATTCATCTAAATTCATTTAGAAAGCCAACTAAAACTATAAAGTAGAGCAGCCATAGTTATTTGGCCATGTGATTTAATATTCTAATAAAAATGCCAGGGATGATGAGATTGAATCTGCTGGAGACGAGCACTAAATTGATTAGCTGCGATGAATAGGCATTTTAGATTTTTCCTCAGCATACAGAATTTTTAACATCAGGGATTTACCGAAAAGAAACCTCAAGTAGTCGACCAGCAGCTTGTTTGTTTTATAGTGGACTTTTTTGTGAGAGTGAGGGGGGGCTAAAAGTGAGCAGTTAATTGCCTACATATGGGCTCATCTCTGATGGTGATTGGCAGCTTCAGTGCTCCCCCTCCCCTCCCCCATCCCCCCATCCCCCATCTTTTCAAAGATGGTAAATCAGTCAAATATTGCTAAAGGCTCAATTTAATGACCTGACCTTTAACCTGTGTGTCCCACGTGTTTTTCTCTTCTGTTTCCAGTAAATGTAATGCGGTGTGCGGTTTGCCACCAGGACTACAAACAAAGTGACATTATTGACAACTATTTTGTCAAAGATACCACAGAGGCCTCCAACACCTCTGATGAAAAGTCTGCACAGGTATGTGAGAATGGTCGGTCTCTTGGAAATGCCTCTAATGAAATCTCTGCCGGCAGGGGAGCTGCTAAATCTCAGAGATTCAAGCTGTAATGGCGTGGAAACCAGTTTAAATCTGCTCTTAATCAATTTGTCAGGACAGAAGTGCATGAATTTAATTTGGTCACAAAAATCAGATCAAACACGTTCTCATTCTGTCATCTTAATCTATGCAAGCCAAGAGGCTGTATAATAAATGTGATGTGGATAATAAATTGATGAGTTATGGAAAAAGCTGAAGAATGGAAAAAACTGTAAAGCTTTAGTTTTTTAACAAAGAATAGTTGGATCTTTTTCAGGGGTTTCTTTCATATGACACAATTTTACTTCAGCTTCAGACTCCTGTCATTATTTAGTAAATAGAAGTATAAGAATGTATTCATTCAAGCTCTTTATATCACAAATCTGTTGGGTATCTTTACTGCTATATATATCCTAAACAAAAGCCCCACATTAATGTTTGGCACAACATTTATCAAGAGATCTGTCCAAACTGGAGTGCATGCTGTCGCGAGCGGACAGATTGGTGCACTTGTGGACCAGATCAGAGACAGTTTGAACAACAGGTTGAAGCTGTAAGGGAGAATGAATACACTAAATGAATAATTACCCATCCACTTTAATCTCATCTGGTGAATATAAATGTTTAAGTATTTTTATTTTTTTCTGACTTCACAGTCAGGTCAGTTTTGTGACAAATTAGATTTTTTCTCACGTTGTCTGTATTAAGTGCATTTCTTTCCCTAAGATCTTAATTGTTTGTATCCACAAGCTTTCAGATCTTTGTCATACAAGTGCTTGCCTTTTGTACAACTTCTCACATTCAACTTTACAAGTTTTTGGATTTTGACACATTTTTACATCGTACTAAAGTCCAGGATTTCCGGCACGTTTCTCTGGACACATTGCCTTAGTCAACATAGGTGCTCATAGTTCAGCTGAGACGGTCCATAGCCCTTTATGTGACACCACCATGAGCCTTTTTCTTTGAATGATCTGAGAGTGCCTTTGAAACGGGAGCTGTATGAACATCAGCAGACGTTCTGATTCTGCCTTAAGGTTGTTTTGAAGCTTATTGGTGTTTTCTTTCTAAGGTTTGCACCAGCTGTGAAGATAATGCCGGAACGATAGGATTTTGTGTGGAGTGTGGAGAATGGCTGTGTCAAACCTGCGTGGAGGCCCACCAGAGAGTCAAAATAACCAAGGACCACAAAATTCGCACTAAGGAAGACACTGAATCCTCATCTGGTAAGCTCTCTTTTTCTCACATTAAAGGATCCTCTGTGTTTCTGAGTATAAAACTGCCAGAACCCAGAAAACTAAAAAGAAGTGAATTTGGTAATGCCTATTGGCCGTTGCCATGGTAATGATGCTGCTGCTCTCGCTGCTAAGATGGTGTCTGTAACTGGGGAAAGAAGGAATCTTCAACCCCCTTTTTTGTCCCTGGTCTTGAGACTGCTACTTCATTAGGGGGGCCACTGCCAGCGGCAAGGCCCACTGGCAGTGGGCCTTGCCGCTGGCAATTTTACTCTTTGCCATATTTATTCCATATTATACTCCTTATTTAATCTAATGCTGTGCAACTCATATTTGAAATAAGTAATTTGAAGAAAAAAATCTGGAGAAGTCGTGAATCTGATTTGAATAAATGTTTTTACATTTTTTAATAGTAATTACGAATTGATTGCTGCCTATCTTTCTGTGCTTTATCTTGTGGTTATTATTCCCACCGCTAAGTACAATCAGTGCTGAACAGCTGTGTTTTTGGCAGCAGCATTTCTAAGTCAGCCCTGTGGTGGAGTCAGTGATTTGTTAGGTTGCCCCCAGAAGAGGTTGAAATTAGGTTTATTAAAATTCAATACGTCCACATAATAAAGGAGAAGCTGCTGCTAAACGGATGATTCACAGCGTGATGGTTGGAGGGGGAAACGGTGCTCAAATGAAGTGGACTTGCAGAGAATTATTATTATTATTTTCCCTGTGATGTTTTTTCTTTAGAAAAGGTGAATTAAAACATAAAAATAAGAATAGAAGAAATCAAATGTTAATGCTTGCTGTAGGAGGTTTTCCTCTGTTTGGAAGAAAACTTAATGCACGTGATGGGGCATGGGAACATTTGGGAATTGCATCTGTTTTGGCAAAGATTGAAACGATGTGACTCACCAGCTGTTTTTGGATTTTTTGGCCGGCTCTCAGATAACTCACAGGACTGACCTGTGGCTTCCCAGATGCGATATAATATTCCAGATCTACACAGACATCAAGCTATTCTCAGAGAAAAAGCTCTATCCTTTTCCTTCTGGTGGACGTCCTGACTTTAGTTAGAGCGCAGTATCATGATCAAAACCTACTGTGTTCATCTAGTCCTGCTTCTTGTGGGCTTTATTTAGGCAACACTGAAGTATTCACAGCTGTGAGGGGTGGTCTCCTTCAGAGTCTTTTCTGTGATGTGCACACATGAACAGCAACTGTAGGGAAAGTCTGGACCTAATTCTCTGCACATTTTCACATGGGTGAAAGTGCTTTAGGGTTTTGCCAGTGAAGAGAAATCATTGATTAAAAATCATCTACATGCAGTTTATTTTTGCACAGATGATGTGCTAAAAGCCTGTTAATGACACGACTCATGCTATGTAATTTCTATGTAATTTCACCACTTCTGTGTGTGTTTCGTCACATTACTCTTTTGCTTTGTGGTTCCGAGAATTAAAGATGAATTTTTTCCTGTGTTTCGACAGAGTCCGTCACTACTTCAGGACAGAGGCCTGTTTTCTGTCCTGTTCACAAGCAGGAGCCTCTGAAGCTTTTCTGTGAGACATGTGACACGTTGACGTGTAGGGACTGTCAGCTTCTGGAGCATAAGGAGCACAGGTAGACCAGGATGCATACATCTGTTATATTACCAACTTACTGTCCAGCGCACATTATGTTGCCCTTAATAATCACAATATATCAGACCAACAGATCATTGGATGCTACATGAGTTTGAATGTGGTTTAAAACAGAACAAATCCAGCTTTGATGGTATGCTAACCCAGTAGACAGCTACTGGTGTCCAGCTGTTATGGTTCGGCAGCAATCAGAACTATAGAAGTACTATAGCAAGGCAGTAATATGTGCACAATAATAGGATGTGTGGGTTACACTCAGATGGACAGAATAGTAACCCAGGCTGTAAATAATATAAAGAAAGCTGATTGGGCTGTATGACTTCAATTTTAGTCAAGCCCTGTACTTTTCCTAAATGATGCTCCAATAAATGTTTGTTTATGAAGCTCTTGGTAAATTATTGTGAGCCTTGCTGTTTTTGTTTTTTTACTGTAGTTGTTTCATTAAAAAAGGATTCCCAAACCCTTCAAGGGGCACTGGTGACTCTTCCCAAGCATAGAATGGGAACAGAGCTTTTTAACCAAAGAAAAACCTAAGCTAAAACTAAAGCCTCTCACATGTTCTCCATCAGACTACAAAGGGTAATAGTTTAACTCGTTCTGCATGCTGTAAAATCAAAAGGGAAAAAAGGGGGGCAGTATTTCAGAATAGCTGGGCATGTTTGAGGTTCATCTGTTGAAGCCTGGTTTGTTTTTAAGAGTAATTAATTAAGGTTTTCTTGTTGTATTTAAACCAAACCGTACCTGCCCTTGGAACACCCTGACAAATCCTTATTCTCCTGAAAGGTACCAGTTTCTGGAAGAAGCTTTCCAGAACCATAAAGGATTCATTGAGACCAACATGGCCAAACTACAGGAAAAAAAGAACTATGTCCATTACTCTCTCTCTCAGGTGCAAAGCAGGTTAGTTTTCCATGACCAGGTTCCTCTTTGAATGTCTTGACTGGTGCCTGTTATTTCGATGAAAAAAACTAAACAAAAACATTTCTTTAAATTCAGGTTAAAGGAGCTCAATGAGACGCATAAGAAGGTGGAGCATGAGATCAAAATCGCAGTATTTACACTTATAAATGAAATCAACAAAAAGGGAAAGGCCTTGCTACAACAGCTGGAGGTAAGAGAGCTTTGAAGCTTTCAGAATGGACTGCAAATGTAAATGAAAGGGAACTAAACCGTCATGTGTTTTATGAGAGCTCAGCCTGAGCCTGTTTTTGATCTGGAACATCGCTGTTATAGTCATTGTGACCATCACTGAAATCATTTGTCTCGTTTGTGGACATATTATAGATTTTTGGTTATATATTTACCATATTTAAACCATGACAGTATGCACTTGTCAGTTAGAAAAAAAAACATTACAAGGCTAAAATACTTTCCCCTTTTAGAATTTTCCTTTCCATCTGATGGCTGAATCCATTTAAATTAACTTAAATATGATTTGAAGAACCTTTGACAGAGACGGTGTCCTTTTCCCTTCAGAGCGTGACCAAAGAGCGCAGCATGAGGCTTGTGGCGCAGCATAAGGATACCACCCAACTGGCCCAGCAGATCCACCATGTGCTCAACTTCTGCCACTGGGCCATCACATCTGGCAGCAGCACCGCACTGCTCTACAGCAAGAGGCCGGTATGTTTGTCTCGGCCAGTAATGATTAATGGTTTAAGCGTGGCTGCTCTGCAAGCACAAAAAGATCCGCTGCACTCGGGCTTTGAGAGGGTCCCACATTTTTTAAGAAGAATCCCATTTTTTGTCTTTGTTTTTTTCAGGGACATTTGAATTGACATTATATTGGTACTTTAATCTACAATCATGCCTTTTAAAGATATTTGTGGTATGTTGTTACAAGAAAGATTCTATAAAAAATTGTTAATTGTTAAACCAACTGGCTTTCTTCCCAACCGGCTTTATTTTAGCTCAAAGAAGGAGATTTTCTGCCATGTGGATTTATATGGGAATTCCCTGGAGCAGTTACGGATGTGCATTATTCCCTCTGTCCATGCGTATAGATCATGTACCAGCTTCGTCAGGTCTTCAAAGCTCGACTGGAGCCAGCACCACAGTCAAATGGAATTGTGCGATTCTTCTGTGACCCCACGTTTTGGGCCAAAAATGTGGTGAATCTAGGTGAGAGAAACCTCTTTCTAAGAGTCCATGGCTGGTCCGTGCATTGCAGCATTAAATGCTTTTTTGTGGTTATTTTAGTTGTTTTCCTCTTCTTTATTTCTACAATAAACTCTCCTGATTGCATGGTGGAGTCCTTTAAATATTCAGCGTCTTGCCATGTTTGCAGGTAATTTGGTAATTGAGAAACCACCACAGTCAACACAACCTCCCGGGGTGATTTTGGGAGGACCACCTGTTTCACCAGGCCAAGGTCATCCAGGGAAACACCCCGGACAGATCAACCTGGCTCAGCTCCGGCTGCAGCACATGCAGCATGCCTATGCTCAGCAGAAACAGCAGCAGCATCATCATCATCATCAGCAGCAGCAGCAGCAGCAGCAGCAACAGCAACAGCAGCAGCAACAGCAGCAGCAACATATGCGCATTGCCTCCCAAATGTCCCAGCAGCATGCCAGACAGGCGGGGCCCCCCATGGTTCAGCAACAGGTATGGAAACGCCAGTAAAGGTACTAGGGGAAATGTAATGCACATGTAGCCCTCCGCCTGGTAAATCTACTTTAAAAAGGGAGAAACAGAATTGGATTTATTTCTGTCCCTTAGTCAGCTCATGTTCAGCGTTTTTTCTTATTTCTGGGAGATGCGCAAATGAATCCAAAAGTCAAGATCTAGCAAAGGATTATCAAACTTGAGCACATTTGAAGTCCTTGGAAGTTTCCAAAGCTTGCCTACTAAATAAAGCTTCTTTGTTAAACTGATGACTGGATCACTCCTCCAATTGTATTGTTGTACTATGATCATCTTCTCTTCCGGCTCTTGGGAAGTGCAGACGTGCTTCTATCTGCTCCCTCCCCTGCCTCCTTTGCCTGCCTGCTCTCTTTGTCCTGTCACATCTCTTTCTGCATTTTCCTCCGAAATCCTGAAAAACTTCTGGTCGGCTGGCCTTTCAGCTCCATTGCTAAGATCTTTTATACCCAGAGACAAGGTGCAGGGTCAGGCCCTTGTCCGGATAGGACTCACCCCCCTGGTTATACAATGGATTCTTGGAAGAGTTGGAAGATTTATACCTTTCTGCTCTTTCTTTGGAAGACGCTGGCAGTGGCTGTTGGCAGGCTGCCGTTCGAGTCGTTACTCCGAGCCATCAACACTCAGAATTTGTGCGAGTTGAATCGCTGACTGGATGCTCCGTGGGACAAACCGGGGATTATGTGTGACTGCAAGGAAAATGGGCACTGCCTTGGAAGAGTTGGATACTGGGATCGTGGGTAGCCGACACGATTGGGCTGAACCGCCATTGTGAGACCTGCTGAAGACTTTGGGCAGACAAAACACGCCGTGCCCGAAACAGAAGCAATCTCTCTTATCTCAATCTGGCTCCCCGAAAGCGGCCTCGGAGCCGCTTCTCATCAACATTTGCCCAGTCTCCAACTCCTCCAAGGCAGTGCCCATTTCCTCCCTGCTGTCACACATCGTCCCCAGTTTGCCCCACAGAGCATCCAGTCGGCAACAGATGCTCCGTCTGCTGTGTCTCTGGCTGCTGCCTCCTGTACCTTCATGTTTATTATGTCTGCTGTCTGCCTGATCATGGACAGGTTGAAGTAAAACAATTTTATTGTACCTGGATGCTGGATAAATGACGAAGCCATTACATTTTCTTTTTTTTTATTGATTATTTTGTTCTCATAAAGACATGAATCTGTAGTTTGCCTTTTAGTATATGGCTGTGGATGTGGAGCAGATGGTCGTTATTATTCATGCTCCATTTCCTTTTTTCCCCTCAACCAGCCCCCAAGACTCATCAGTATGCAACAACTCCAAAGAGGGCCCGGGGGTATGAACGGCGGGCCCGGTCCCTCAATGTACCCTTCTTCCCATCACATGCGTCTCCCGGGTCCCCCGCCACAGAGCCGGATGCCCACTGCCCAGCCCAGACATAATGGGCAGCAGTATTCACCCTTGATGCAGCCTCAGTTACAGCGGCAGGTCAGTACCAGATGCTCATCTGCTTTAATAATTTGATAATTGGCCATCCAGGAAGGTTAGCTGGTATAATTCCAGGTGCTTTATAGATACAACTGGGAGACTGGTCTGAAGCAGCCAAACAGCCTATTCGGGAGAGCTGAGTTTTTACAGAATCCTGATAACACGACCCCAATAGGTGAAAAGATCTAAGAAGACTAACTTCCACTGAAGTAGAGTTTTACTGTTTTTTCTGCCATAGCACAAATCTGCAGGATTCCTGTCCGGACTTATTTTTGTTACAATTCTTGGCATATTTTGGCTCGAAAATGGTTTGTTTGGCTGATAAGAAGCAGACTCATCAGTGCCTATTAGATTAGATGGTGTGTGTTACGCATCCAAGATCAAAATCCAAGATCATTTTTGCCAGATGTCAGACTTGATATTTGTTGTAGTTGCTGAAACTGTTTCCAGCTGATCACTCACCACACAATACCAACTGTAAACTCTAAAAGTAACTGGTTAGTTAGAGAATGGTGCCAAAAAAGCTCAGGCGTTTCCATATGGATAGTTAACATTAGAAGAAACAGTGGAAACTTTAACAGCGCCTAAAGGTAAATGATATTTTGTTAAGTTCATGCCGTTAAAAAAATGAGACAGCTCCCAAGTTAAATGTCTCATCTGTCCTGAGGTTTCCACTGTTCACAAAAAGACAAACCCTGGTACAAGTCTACCTTTATCCTTATGAAAAGATGCAAAGCTTTGTCAGAGTTGAGGTTTAAGAATTCAAAATGACACAATCTATTTTCATTGTTGTTTGCTAATTTAATAATCAAACATTCTTAATTCCTGATACATTTAGTCTCAGTATAATTATTCATACTATAAAAAGTTCTTAAAAAAAATCTAAGCTTTGCTAGTTTGACTCACATCACACTTAACCTATTTGTAAGGCAGCTGAAACGTTTTTTTTTCAAAGGACGATAAAAAAATCTCATCTCAGATCTGCACAGCGCTGCCTCACCAGTGTATCTATACTTCTACAGCAGACTGCTAGTAAAGTAACTTTTTCGGTGCAGAATGAAAATGTACATGAATTTTCTGCATGTCAGACGAGGTGAGAGAAACGTCCACTATATCCAGCCCATTTTTCTTTGTGTCCAGATGTCTATAGAATCTGAGATGAGCCACCAAAGGCTTCGTTACTTACTGCAATCAGGGGTTTGGCACCTTTTTCCTTCTTTGTCATTTACGTGTATTGTGCAGCATGTGTGGTCACTCTGCATGACAATGAATCCCTGTTGTCTCCATGAAACATTTATTTCCACTATTTAATCCTCAGAGAGTGACCTCTCTTGTTGGTTTTTCTCCATCCTTCTTTCTCCCATTTCTTTTCTTTTGTTCTTGTCATTAACCTTTCCTTTCATTTTTTGCATGGATTCCCTTTCCCTCCATCCTTCTCTTTAATTCTCTGTGCAGCATTCCAACCCTGGGCACGCTGGTCCTTTCCCGGTGGCATCGCTGCATAATGCCAATCCCACAAGTCCGACCAGCGCCAGCATGGCCGGCGCTCATGCTCACCGCGGCCCTGCTAGCCCCATTATTGGTCCAATTGAGCTCATTCCCTCCGTCACCAATCCCGAGAACCTGCCCTGTCTGCCTGAGATCCCGCCCATTCAGGTGAGCACATTTCAGCACAGACAAATCACAAAAAAAGACAAAATGATTATCTTCTTAAAAATGAACAGATGCAGAAAATAGTTACACTTTATTTCAGAATTGGAACAATATGGTGAAGCAGTCTCTCATTTTGGACTACTGATTCTGTATAAAGCTAAAAATGATCCATTCTGTAATATCTGTGGACCTCCGTAGTCTTCACTGCTCACCAGTATGCTGTGTTTAATTCCCAGTTGGAAGATGCAGGTTCCAGCAACCTTGGACAGCTTCTTTCTCGTTACATCACAGCCAGCACGCAGCACCAGCTGGGCTCAGTGGACATGAACCCCTCGCCTGGACTATCCACGCTCTCTCCCGGGTCATCAGGTACCCGCCAGCTCCTTTTGTTTAACCTTGTATTCTGAAGCGGAAGCCTTTCCTGACCTCATAAGAAACTGTTAAACTTAAAAACTGAATCATGTTAAACCGTGTCACATAAATTGCATCGGCTAACCTCGTCCACCGCCTCCCTGTATGTGTGCAGGTCTCTCTAACGCCCACACACCAGCACGGCCCTCCAGTGCATCCAGCACTGGCAGCAGAGGCAGGTAGGAGGTGTTGAAGAACTGCAAAACACTGAAATATTTTCAAGAGAATATTCACACACAGGAGCTCCTTATTTTATGAAGATAATATAATGTAGCGATGTTGGATTATTTGTTTGATAACTGGTACCACATTTTATATTGATTGTTGAATGATGAACTGACTTCCTGAAACTCACCACGATGACATAAGACTTCATTAAGCATCTGTCCATTAAGTATTTCAACAGCTAACAAATTTGTTTGGGCGTTGTGCTTCAGGATGCTGGATTTAGATTTTATTAATGGAGAGAAGTTCCCACAGGCAGTCCTTTTTAAATGCAGTGAGGACAAAAAGACCGAAAGCAATTGGATCCTCTTATATTAAATGGCACTGGGGTTATTCTGTGTCTTTTAGACAGCAGCACAGATACAGAAGAGTTCAATTAGTTGCACTTAAGATATAAGTGGAGTTATTGTCAACATGATAAATTAGCTGTTTTTCCTTTTAAAACCTTTAATGTGGCTAATTTTGAAAGGCCACGTGTGCATATGTTGGAAGAGCAGGCAGAACTGCAGTTTTTCACATGTGAAAATTTAGGAAGTTAGAAAAAGGAAAGTGCTGTAAAAAAGGAACCACTTAAAGATAACTACCTCATATTTCAAAGTTGGCAGTCCCTGCGTTTTGAAGCAGGCTGGTGCTGTGGCTGCCTGTGGAACTGATCCACTGACATTTATCGATGATTTCATCACTGTTGGAAACAACTGGATAATTGAAAAGGTCTGTGGGACATTTAATCCCATAGAAAGACAGTGGACGTAAACACACCCAGTCTAAAGCTGCCACAGAGATGCATCACACATGCACAATTTTTTACGGTGTTAATGACATGGTAAATGTAAAAATAATTTTAACTTTATGTACGATTGCTAAGTGCAATCGATATCATCACATTACTTATTTAGAGCCACATAAATTTTGCATTGCTCATCGTTTTTTGTTTTTTTAAGTTGCCTTTTAGTTTAACTGCTTATACATAAATCCACGACAAGAATACAGCCGTTAAGAGCTTAATTACTAATATATACAGGTGCAAATGGGATATTCTGATATTTCAGATGAGCTGCAGGTGAAAACATTTGAACATAGGGATACAGATGAGGCCCCACTAAATATCTATTTCTAAACCTGCTTTTTGCTGTGATCACTGCATGTGTTTCCTACAATAAATAAGCATTTTTATTTTGTTACATTACCTATAGTGAAGGGTTGCTCACTTTGTTCGATTCCCATAAAATATGTGGGTCTTTTCTTTCTTTCTCTTTTTTTTTAAAGCAAACTATTTTTTTTTAAGAAAAAAAGATGAGGTCACTTAGGTCACTGGGCCTAAATGATTGGGTAGCTGTACTGATAATTTCTCCATGGTTTGGCAGCTGTAGTTCTGCGGGAAAAGCGGGGCCTGGAGGCGGAGCCACTTCAGAGCAGGTTAAGGTGAAAAAGGAGCCGGGCACAGAGGACACCTACACCTGCACGGCCTCTACTCTCAAGACAGAGCGGAGCAAAGATGCTGGGAGGAGTGCCTGCATGGTAAGATCCCTCTAGGTTTAAGATAAAAAAGAAAATTTTAGGAAAGTGTGATGACACCTAAAAACTAATCAGATATTGAGAGGGTTGGCAGTTACTTTCAAACGTATTTTTTGGTCTGCAGATGAGCAGTCCAGACAGCAGCCCCCCGGGAGCAGTGTCTGATCCTGTAAAGGTTCGAGGGGAGAGCATAAAAACAGAACCCGAGTCAGAAACTCCTTGTTCTGGACTAAATGGCGACAGTGCCACCACATCGTCTTCTTCCATGCTGACCTCCACTACCTCCTGGTCCACCGACAACAGCAGCAGCAGAGCAAACCCCCCACTCATTAATGGGAAAGAGACTCCATACAATGCAGAATCTGGAGCTACGAGGGGTTCTGAGGCAAAAGAAGATGATCCCAACGAGGACTGGTGTGCTGTTTGTATCAATGGTGGTGACCTACTCTGTTGTGACCGCTGTCCCAAAGTGTTCCACATGAAATGCCACGTCCCCACTATAAAAATCGTCCCAAAGTAAGTGATCAATGAGCTTACTGTCAAAATACAACATTGAGAATGTAATTATTTATGACATGAACCTATTTGGGTTAAAAGAATGCTGGGGAAGCTGCCTGTGATTTGGACAGTGACAAACTGGACGGCTGATTTTCAGTCAGACCCCCCCAGCCTACATCAGCCTGAGTTCAGAAACATTCTGCGGTTGTTTCTTATTATCCTGAACGTTGCCTTCTGCGGTTGTTCCCAGGGGTGACTTCCTCTGCACGTTTTGCCGGAGCCTAAGCAGCCCTGAAATCGATTACTGTGACGACAGCAAGAAAATCAAAGGCGAGCAGAGCCTGTGTGCTGAAGACCAAAGGGTCAGTCCAGTCGCCACATGCTCAGAGAGCCCCTCCATGAACAGTATGAGCAATCTAATCCTCTCTCCCTCTGTCTGCAGAGATGTGAACGCCTCCTGTTGTACATTTTCTGCCATGAGCTCAGCATGGGCTTCAGGGAACCTGTTCCAAGCACTGTAAGTTGTTTCACACACACATCTGTCTTTTCACGCTGCGTGGTGACTCATATAGATTGTGAAACCTTCTTTTTGTGGCTTGACATTCACCACATTCATGATTCCAGAAAGGTTTCCCTTTCGACTTTGTTCTCACCAAACAGGTGGCACGTTGTAGCAAACACCTGCCTGAAGTTAAGTTACTACGAATTGTCTGGTTCAAATTGAAAGAAAAGGTTTTATGGCACGGCACGCAGGTGGTGCCGATCCGTTTGAAGCAGCTTTTTTTCCTTACTAGGGATGAAAATCAAATTAATAAGGGATATTTTTAGACCAGTCAGGGAAGGAATACCTGTTTATGTTGATTTATTTCAACGCTTCAAGCGGTGCAACGCCCTCTAGAGAGTGAATGAAGCTGGGAGAGGGAAAGGCTCTTTATTTCGGCTTCTCACATGCAGCTGCTTCGGACAAAATCGGTTTCTTCAGAAAAATAGAAGCAGGATTACAAAGAATAATAAGAATAAAAGAAATGACTAAATTAAAGTGGACTTCTCATTTCGACAACTTTCTCTAAAATGTATTAAAAATGGTGAGAACTTTTCAATAATCTATATCTTCAAAAAAAATTGCTCTCTGTTCCACTTTCATTTAACTTAGGTACCCAACTACTACAAAATCATTAAACAGCCCATGGACCTGAAGAGAGTGAAGAAGAAGCTGCAGTTACGGAGCTCCCAGTACTACAAGTCCATCCAAGACTTTGTGTCCGACATGCGCCTTATCTTCAGAAACTGTGCGAAGTACAACGAGGTGAGCGGCATGTGTTTCAGCCTGCTGTGGGGAATGGCATCTGGCTTGTGTGTGTGCATGCAGACACGGTTCTCACTGATGAAGTGACACAAGCTGAAGGAGACCTCTATTGGGCAGTGGTGTCTGGAGACCGCTTGGACTTAAATTCAGATACTAACACGGTTGGAGGAGGGCAGGTTTAGGCATCAGCTTCCACTGGCTGCAGGAACACCGTCTGCACCCCATTAACACCGCCTGCATCTCCACACAACACCTGTGTTTTAATCAGTGGAAGTGGCATATTTCTTTATTCCTCCGTGGGCAAGGGCGGGGGGGGGTATATTTGTAAATGTGATGAATGCATTTGTTTTGATGTCTCCTCACTTTGACATGCTTCTGTGGATAATTGTTCATGACACCACCATACATCCACATGGTACATCCTGTGATCATTAGGGGGCTTTGTTTTATTTAAATTTTATTCTTAAACGACGTTAAAGCTCAGAGGGCCCACAGACGATACTGTGAATTTAGAAGGATCTGAGCTTTACAGTATTTCGATTTTTAACGTCATCCAAATTAACAGCAGGTAATAAATTAACAGCAGATTTAGATTATTGATATATATTTCAGAAGAACATTTCCTCTATATCAAAGAACTCTTTGGCAGAATATGAAATTATGTTAGTTATTTGTGGGCCTAATTTTCAAAGAGTAAATAAGATTTAGTATAAGAAAGTGACTTTCTTTTACATAATATGATTGCATAATTTAATATATATGCACCCTCACATGAAATATAGTCTATGTACCCAACAGAAAATTGGCCACTTTACAGCTTTAAGATTACAGAATTTTGTTAAAGGAATTCTTTTAAGCCCTGAACATGTTCACATCTCCTGAGAACATCGTGTTGAATCAGTCCATCAATAATGTTATTCTTAAAAACAACCTGTTCCTCAGCACTTAAAAAGAAGACCTATTATCACAAATGGGGTCATGTCACATGAAACGTGGGTGGAAAAGCTACAGTCTGGTTACTTTGAGAAGATTTGGCCTCTCTGACCTTTACTTGCTGTTAATTTATACACTGCTGACTTGGTGATTCACGCCTCACATTTTAGCACAGAAAAAAAACAAAAAACAGATTCTCTATCTGTTATTATCTAACCTGCCTGTGCTGTGAACTCTTTTTTCCCCCCTTCTGCTTCACTGTCTGTGTTATAATGTTATTGCCCCTTTTTAGATGTCTCGAATAATCCAGGTTTATGATGAGGAGAAAGAGATTAATAATCAGGTAAGCCGTCTCAAGAAGAGCATAGGTGTCTTGTCCCGTCCCACTGAGGCTCCAAGAAATGTTTCTACTCTTCCTCCAACAGAGCGCCAGTAGAAATCATTGGAAAAATACAGTCTTAAATGATACTTTCTGTATAAAAATAGTGGAATTGGATTGAAGCTCATTCCACATGGTGTTCATAGTGAATAGATGAGAAGGTGTCCGAGGGGCTGTGTGGACCGTTAAGCTGCTTTTCTGAAGTACTTTTGTTTTACCTCCAAATGTCTGCCTTTCCCGATTCACCAGCATTTGTTTTTCTGATTGGCTTTGGTAAAGACGGCTTGTGTAAGTGGAGAATGTGTGACTTTGTCATAGAACGCTGCCACCCAGCAGACTGAAAACACACCTGCAAAGCCAAAAAGAGAGCCGCACCGTTTCAGGGCTTTCCCTTTCAGGGCTTTCCCTTTCAGCTTTGACCGCGGCTCACGGCGTTTCTGCCACCGTTTCTGTACGTAAAGCCAGGGCCGCAGCATCAGGTCAGGAACAAGCAGATACGGTTGCGAGTGTATCTTCTATGAATTATCTAGCTGTGTGTTTGAGAGTCGGATTCAACTTCGGCCCGTTCTCATCCCTTGAGCGTCCTCCTGGGGCCGTTCCACTCCCCCTTGAGAACACTCATTTTTCAAAAACATCTCGTACTGATGATAGTTGGACTGCTGACCTCAATAGGAAGTGGTCCCAGTGTGACATGAAGCACACTTTGACAGAGTCCCGGCATGGTCAGTCGATCTGAGTTGAATTAATTTTAGAAATGTCTGTTCATGATCATTCAGGATTCCCTTCTGTCCGCTTTACTGCATCACAGATGATGGTACACCACCCCCCCTCTGACAGGTTCTGATCACACTTTTTCTCCCACCGCTACCGTTAAGACAGCCTCCTCACTTGTTGTGGTGGTAGTTTAGCTTTAACTTGATTCTCAAACAGATCAGCGGATGTTCAACGGCCGCCGGAGGTCTCTGACGTGATTGGTTAAGCGCTGACTGCGTCACTGAGGTTTGAACCAAATGGGAAGCTTTTGCCTTTGTTTTCACAATATCCATGTGAAAACCTCTTATTTTGGCCTGGTTTCGTGTGGAGCTGCAGTAAAGACTAACCCAGATAAAATCCTATCTGTTTCCATAGCAACATGCAGATCTGAATATTCACAAGGTGGAAGTTAGTGTTTTTCAGGCTCGCTTAGAATAAGGGGGAGATTTAGATCTGTTACAAATGGAATATTACAAGTATCCGGAACATTAAACTAATCCTCCATCAATAGAAGGATGTGCATCATTTTTATTTGCATGACTATTAAGGAGCTGGTTTATATGAACCAGTATGTTTCTATCACTGTGTCCATGCTGTTTTCCAGTTCAGGATCTGGATGGAGCGATTTTTAGCTTTGTTACCTCATCCTGCCGTCCTCCTCTGTTGTTTTAAGGGAAAAAGTTCAGTCACCCCTTGTGTAGAGAGATTGAATCTACATTAGGCTATAGTCCAAAGGTCATTTAGCTGTTTTATGCTTTTTGAAGTGAGCTCATATAAACGGTGCTTTTGCCTCAGATTTGAGCTGAAAGAGGCTGACTGAATCTGAATCTGGGCTTTTGATCTCAAATCATCAGAACATAGGTGATTTGATGATTCTGTTTTGGCTTTTAGACGTTTTATTTCCTTAACCAGCGTAGCTTTTTTGTGTCCGTGCCATTTAAAATGGCCTCATGTTAAAGTTGAAATGAAATCTTTCAGCGTCCTTGAAAAATTCAGATTTTTCACCACTATTTCAGTCATCAGCTGCTGAAATGTGGGAAGCATTTGAAGTATTATTGACACTTCAGTGAATGGTGGAAATGTTTCATGGAGCCTCAGTGGGACAGGGAGGCAGGATATCCCTGCTCTGTACAGCAAAGTTGAGCTGGGCCCCCCCCTGCCACCAGGAGTCTTAACCAAATCTAATTTGTCTCCTCATTCTCCTCCTCCTCCTCCTCCTCTTCCCTGCCTGAACCCATTCATTCTTCCCACTCAATGGTACGCTCACACCCTCTTCCTCACCTTCTTCTTCGACCTGTTCCTCCTCTTCCTCCTCTGGCAGGCGGGATCAGAGATGGCGATATCGGGCAAAGCGGTGAGCCTTTACTTTGAGGAAAAGCTGCTCAACACCTTCCCAGGCCAAAGCTTCCCCGAAACGCCGGAGTGCGAGTCTGTGGAGGAAAAGGAAAAGGAGGCGGAGAAGGAGAAGGAGAACGAGACGGACGACTCTGAGGATGACATACAGCCCAGGCGCAAGCGGTTGAAAACGGACGAGAAAATCCTTCACATCAAGTGAAGACCAACCTCAGAAGAACCAGGAGAAGTGAGAAACTGTCTTCCTCTCACCCGACACTTCTCCCTTCTTTCTTTTGGAAGCCACAAAGGAAACGGACAAAGATTTTCTACACAAACTGGCCGAGCGCGTTGTTGCCTTTGGACGAATTGTGGTGAACAAAGAAAGCATCTGCTTCTCAGAGAGACTTTTGGACTGAAAGACAGAAGAGCTGCATTCCCTCTGTATTTCATGGACATTCAACTCGCTTGTACAGATTTTGAAGTAGGACTTGATTTGCAGTAGTTAGCGACTGGCTCTTCTGTTTTCTATCATCCATTTGCATTTGTAGATTTGTTGTGACGATTGCTTTATAAAACATTTAAATCCTCTGTTCTGTTTGATGTATTATATCAATACTTTGAGCCTACCAAGTATTTGTAAGACTTTGTGGAAATGATATATAAATAAGAGTCTAATCCCTCTGAAGGTATTCCTACAGTATAGATGTTCTGGTGAGTCAACAATAAAAACCTGTACTTGAAATCTATCAAAGCAAACGTGTACGTGGACTCAGTTTGAGCTCTGAGAACAAAGACAAGTCTCACTGATGACATCCATGAGGATATTTTTGGTTTTAAGTCCGTTTACTGGAACAAATGCATAGTTTACTTTATTATTATAAGCAGAGGTTCTATTCAAGAGTTCAACTGAGATGTGCCAAACTTGTTAAATGGAACTCTGCTCCTCTGTCGCAGGACGCTGCTGCTGTTTCACACTTTATTTAAAGAGGCGCTTTAGCTGATGAGGGCGGCAGCAAGCCTTGGCAATAAAGATGGAATCAAAATCCCTGGCGGACGTTTGTGTAGCAGTTTCATTTGGTAAAATAAAGCGATGATATGAAACTCGACCTACGTTGAACAGCTTTGTAAAATATACTGAAAACAAAGCTGATGGTGGAATCGGGAACAAAAACAAAAGAAGAGTTGTGATGGTTTATTAATAAAGGTCAAACATTTTAGCAACAGATTTTTTTTTATGTCCGGTTGATGTACAGCCAACCTGTCTATGTATCTCTGACTGAAGCATTTGGTTTGTGTGTGTTAATGCATATTGATTTTTCCTCTTGAAAAATGTCAGAATTGCCCAAACTCACAAACTTGCTTCTTTTCTTTAGGCTGTATTTTTGTTTTGTTTCACTGGAGCTGAACCAAACTGAAGAGCCAGCATCATCTCCTTTATTTATCATTTCTGTCCCCCATCCGCAGCCCACTGTCAACTTTGTTTTCTTCTGGTAAACATTGTGTGTAACTACTTGATGCAAATTGGGGATAACCAGCATATTTTGCAACACTGGAGTTTTCCTATGTTTCCCATCCTTATTTTGGCCCTCTTCTGGGTGCCAGGTGCAACAGTTTTAATAACTGAAAGTCTTCTATCTTAACTGGGCTGATTTGCTTATCAACCCTGTGCAAACGTTTATTTGAAAAATGCAAATAAGGGGAAACAAATAAGGACATATTTTTCATATTTAAAAGTCACTAGACTGATCAGAGCATCCCGCGTGGAGAAGTGCCTGATCAGCCTTTGCTTTCCAGTTTCATATCGCAGCTTCTGTGCAAAAAACAAAACCAAACACGTGATGTTTGAGGAAACTTTCTGCCGAACATGAAATCACACGAGCTGACATCAGTAAAGTTTGCTGCTGAGTCGCCAGTCTGACGGCGTGTCAGCTGACTCTTCTTTTGACATCACCTCAAATTTAGAAAATATAGCTGCTGACTCAGCGTCTCGCGTTGCATTTAAGCCTCTCTCTCTCTCTGGTAGGTGATTATTTCCTTTTAGTTTGTATCCACTGGCGCTTTATCAGCTTACTGAGACGTCTCGGTCTCCTTTAGTCTGTCTCATCATCTCCATTTATAAGACAAGAAAAGAACAGCCAGTAAAGTTTAAAGAAAGTTGAGATGAAGGGATTTTTTTCTCCATAACCCCATAGCGTAAGTACATTATTTCTTTCACGGCTACATACTAAAATGCAACGTTTACGGAATGAAAGAGGCCACCGGACTTATGGCGGCTCAGGACTAATTAGTGGATTACCCTGCGGGGAGGAATCATACGGTTTGACAAGACTTGTTAATATGTGATGAGGGGATGCGAAAATGTGCGTCCCTCTTCCGCGGATAAGTAAACATGAAACATTGGTTTGTTTCTCAGAATGAAATCCATAACCCCGTCAGGCCCAACCAGGAGCAGGTTCACACTGCTATACTATTAATACATTATTATTTACAGCCATTTTGTGTTGGATGCTGCTTCACTCTGGGGATATTAAACTAAAGAGTATTGATGTTAAAATTATTTTAAAAAGTATCCTTTCGTGTCCAGAGCCGAAAAAGTCTGACTTTAAAGGCTGGATAGGCTCGTTGTTTTGCAGCTCTGGAGCCGCGAGTCACATGACGACGCCTTTGATGACGTTTTAAGCAAGCGACCAATCATCTCTCAGACACTCGTCTTGCTTGTTTATTGTCCGTTTCCTTGTTTTGCACCAGTCTTGAAGAGATTGCTGCTCTGCTCAGGACTCCGTGGGGTTTGTCAGCGGCCACACAGGCAAGATAAATATGACGGCTTATTACTTTTCTTTTTTGGGGTAAATTGGAGGTGTTTTCACGCCGAGGCTCATAGATGAGGCGCAGTTTTCCTCTAGTCAGTAGTTGATGTTGTTGCTATTAGCTGAGAAGCTAACAGGTATTTGGTGTGTGTTTGGTGTATTTTCTTGTTTCTGTTTAGTGTTTTTAAAACATCTTTACAGATATTATTTTGCAGGGTTATCTCAAACTGAGTTCTAACTAACATATTTATTCACCGACCACTGCCTTTATCCATGGAGCTGAGAAATAACAGACTCTGCATCCCAATAGCCGGTTTTTCAGTTTCAGGGTTTCAACAACCTTTGACCCCATTGTGACAACATTATCTGCAAATAAGTTATATTGGTACTCTTTGTGCACATCTTATTTTATTCCTCTCTATTTTAGCCATGTAGTTTGAGTGTACGATGTCACCAAAACTACTTCTTTGTACCATATGGTTGTAGTACTTGGTGTTAAGTTGATTAAAAACAGATGTATCTGTTTCTCTGTTCTTTTTAAAGCAACATATCAATGCTGTTTACATAATCTAGGCACAGCCTCAGAGTGGAAGTTTTTTTATTTTTTACCTTAGCTTTAGTTTATTTTAACCTTAAACTCTTACAGGGTTTAAATTCACTTTTAGGGTTATTCTAATAAACCTTAGGGTTGTTAAAAAACACTCTATGATTGGTCTTATTTACAGATTAGCCAGACATGAGATGAGGAAGATGCTTTTTGGAATGCTAAACTGTATATTGATAGAACGCTTTTTTTCCATTAGGAGAATATGCACACAGACGGAGTCCTCACAAGGGGAACCTTTGGAGGGCCCGCTTCAGGAAACTTCACCACTCTGTGTCCTAATGGGTCCAAATGGGTTTGGGAAGGGCTCGGGGAATGCGCCCAGGACGGGAGGGACATGGCCAGCATCTACATCGGCCTCCTGTCCATCCTCTGTTTCATGGTGTCCTCACTTCCGTAAGTCTCTTTCTGTTATTATCTCTTTGTAGACTTCCTGTTTGACTGACGTGTCCTCTACTATCTGTCTGCTGCAGACAGTACTACAGCTCCTGCATAAAGGGGAACATGGACCAGGCTCTCTCTATTTGGTTTCTGCTGCTGTGGTTGGGCGGGGACTCCTGCAATTTGATCGGCTCCTTTTTGGCAGACCAGCTTCCACTCCAGGTGACTTTTAAAGATGGACTGATTGCTTCACTGTTAGCCAGAATCATGTGATAAGATAAGAGTGCTATCTGATTTGTTTTGATTGAGCCACACATTGATCAACAAAAATATCAAAAGCTTTTATCAGTGCTCATTAGAGGGTGTAAACACAGAAAATCACTCCTTCAGCTTTAAAATGCTCAATAGTGCCACCTGCTGATGAGGAGAGTTTTTAGATACAAAATAAAAGATCCATGCAGCTAGTACCAGATGAAATCCATGTAATTCTGTCCCACTGTGTGGTGCACCCTGCAGTTGTGTTTTTTCTTGTTAAAACTGAATTTGATACGATTAATTTTTTAGTTTTACTAGAGCGTTTTTAACCTTAATTTAATATGAGCAGCACAGATCAGTGTGAAAATTGGCAAGTGAATTCAATGATGCCTAAAATGGTACTCAGGCTCCATGTTTCACTGATCACTGTTGCTAAGAAGTGATATATGCCCCAAATCTGCATTGAATTGGAAAATCGCTCATCCTCCTCACACACTTTGGAGCTCTGATTCACATTTAGGAGCTGCACGAGGCTTATTGCTCTTTTTGTCCTGATCAATCTGTCGTTCCAGTCGTCATCAATCCTGTGTACAGCAGCTGTGTACGCGTCGCAGTAATCTCCTACCTCTGCTGTGTGTGTTTCTCCCTCTCACCCAGACATATACCGCCATTTATTATGTTTTTGCCGACCTGTTGATGCTGGCCATGTACACGTACTACAAGCTCAAGAACAGAATGGCTGAAAGTAAGAATTTGGTTTGCTTTACTACTAATTTTCCAAACATTCACCTTAAAAAACAAAAAAAAAAAAAACAAGCTCTTTCTTTTCTTGTGCTTCATTTTCTCTCCTGACACAGGTGTAAACCGATTTGAACCTTTTGCACTAGATATTTAAATAATAAACTTTAAAGTACTGTAAAGCTGTGCCTGTAGTTTGTGATGCTAAAATGCTGTGACATGAGTTTGATGATGAGTAAGCTCATCATGTCCGTGGTGGATGGACGACATTCTGTGAAGCCGTCATCACATGCCTCTGCCATGCGGCGGCCCTCTCCCCCTCCGATGACCCGTAAGGTGGCAGCTCTTGCCCGAGGGAGCCACGCTGATGGCGGCTGTGCTCTCTCCCACAGGCAGAAGGGTCCTGCACGTGGTGGGCATCTCCTGCGTTTTGGGCCTCACCGCCGGCCTGGCCCACCTCCCGGGGCCAGGACCCCAGGGGGTCTCCTCGGCCTTCAGAAGTCGTTCCTTGCTCTCGACCGTCGATGTCAGCGCCGTCAAGGTGAGGCCTTTTTGTTTGCTCACTTATCGGGCTTTATCGGGTGGTGGATTGGTTAATGCAGAGTTATTTTTCTTGTAGTGATTTTTTTTCTCCCTTTGCTTCGGCAGGCTTTTACCCCGAAAGAGATCATTGGTTTCTCCATCGGATCGGTGTCCTCGGTCCTCTACCTCTGCTCCAGGCTTCCTCAGATGTACACCAACGTGAGTCTGACACAGTGGTTTCTGCCACGAACGTATAGATATTTAATTTTATCTGCTTGGAGGACTGAAGACGTTTGTGAGAGTGCACAAACGTCTCCGTGAATCATCAAATGTTTAATTGAATTCTTAAAAAATCAAGATCAATTCAAGGCTGTCTTCATTTAACTTTGCGTGAAGACCCTTATTTATTACCCTGAAACCTTTTGCTACAGTTAAATGCATGTTTTCCAAACCTGGGAGGACTCACAGCAGTACAAACTGGTTGATATCCATTCCCTAAAAATGTTCTATTCCCCTGAATCTGCTTGAATTGTCAGCTTGCTCATCATCACAGCCAGACTGTTCCACGTTGTTGCCAATAATTATGTTGATAAGTGCCCATCAGCCTCAGGAAAATCAGACTTAATGACGATTTAAATCTGGACTCCAGGATGCATGCACAGTCCACCAAACCTTCTGATGTGCTTAAAATCTACTCATTCTTTGTTTTGCATGACATATGATTAAGGACTGACGTATGTCCTCACATATAAGTCGATCATCTGGTATATGTTCTGTCTAGAAGGCAGAGCTAGCTAAATCTGCCTAAACCTGCTGAAGATTTAAAGAAGAAGATGAATCAAAGTGAGGGATTTAAAAAATAAATCAGGTCACTGTAATTTGAAGCTGTGTGAATTTTTATAGATGGCCTTCACTTCCCCTGCTGTTGTCTCATTTCTCCCTGCAGTACAAGAGGAAGTCCACAGAGGGAGTTTCTTACTTCCTATTTGCACTCGTCATCCTGGGAAACACTACATACGGGCTGAGCGTCCTCCTGAAGAACCCTGACCTGGGCCAGGGGGAGAAGAGCTACCTGGTTCATCACCTGCCGTGGCTCATCGGCAGCCTGGGGACCCTCTCCCTGGACCTCATGGTATCCTTTTGAAAGAGAGAAGGGAGAAAAAAAAACGGGACGTCTCAAGCGGGGCCTCGGAGTTCTCGGAAATCCCACGTACGTGCAACATTTTAGGCAGTGCAGAGGGGGAAGAGGGGCATGTAGACACAGGAACAGATACAAGCTGAACAAGTGAGATAGTCCTATCTTATAGAGTGACCCCCTCAGCCGTTGAACTTCAACTTAAAGTCCGAGACCTCATAATCACAGGACGACCAGTCGATCGTAGTCGATGCAAACCGAGAACAGGATTTTCAGCAGAAAAAGCCGAAATTGCAGGTTTTTCTTTTCTTAGTTTGTTTGTTCCTTATCGTGCCCAGATAGTGAAACAGAAACACAAAGGACCCATCAGTGTGCTCAGCAGAGCCTTATTGCTCCTCAGGGATGTCGATGGGATGCATGGATTTTCCCTAAAATGAGGAGACTTGAGATTTTAAAAAAAGAAAAGTTTGAGCGCATTTTCAACCAGGGCCAGATGTTGCTCTTGCCATCACCATAGCAACTAAGCAGACACACGAGAGCACAGCAGCTGTCAGAACTAAGCGTTCAGAAACACACACACACACGTGCAAACACTTCCAAACAGCAAACAGCCTTTCTGCCCTCAGTATCACATTTTCAAACACTGAGCGAATCCCCTCCTCGATGATGTATTTAGCTAATATACCTACAGCCAGAGGTTATCAACATACACGTACACACATCTCCCGGGAAATATTTTCACCTCCTCATCAGTCCACGGTGGACACACAGTCAGCCGGCTGCCCTCATTTAACGCGCACAGAGGTGGACGTCAAACGCCACCACGCGACAGACCACACAAACGGATCAACAAGCGCATGTTGAGTTTCTCTATTCAGGAACTGGAGCTTTAGATTCTGTGACCACTGCGGTCCTCAAAGTTATCCTTCAGCCAGGCATCCTTCAAGGGGCGCTCAAGGGGTTCATTTTGACTGACTGTTTGAGAGTTTCCTTTCTTTCCCTTAACACGAGCTCCAGATCTCAATACAGTTCTTAATTTACCGCAAGGCCGCGGTCCAGGGCGCCGGCGGCGGGGGCGAGGAGACGGCGCCTCTGATGGGGAGCTAATGAAGCCGGCGGGACACGAATCTGCTGGTGGGACTCGAGTCCAAAGTGGCCCTCCAGTCCGCGCCGCGTTCACCCGGGGTGGCAAACCAGAAACCTGTAATCTTTACTGATTTTATAGTTTTATTTATTTATGCCTTCACCTTTTAGAAAAGAAAAAAAAACAACGTTTACAGTGGGTTTATTTCTGCAAACGGCGGGCACTGAGGAGGTGCTTCCTTTGACCTCAGCAGATTTTCTGGGTTTTAACGGGATGGCCGGGGTCCTCGGGCACCGGTCATAGCCCGATCGGTTTCACAGATGCCTGAAATGACACCACAGAGAGGCTCCTATAACCTGATAATGGTGCTGCTAAGTGTCCAAACACGCACTGCATCTCATTTAGTGTTTCAGAGCTCCTTCAGAAGCTTGAATATTTCGTTTTCTGGGCTCTTCGCCACATAAGTGCAGTGATGTGTTTGTATTCAATCCGTTTTAATTGACGGTTGCACCAAGTGCCAAAATAGAATTAACAAAACAAATGTGTTGAGAAATTACTTTATATGCAAATGAAGTTCACTTTTGATTTAATTATCTGTTTTATATTTCTTTCTTTTTTATTTTATTTTAGAACACAAATGCATGACCAGTTTTGATTGCACTGGTGGTAAATGTTACTTTGATTTTTTTTTTGCCCTTCTCTGTTTTGTTGACTCGGTTTTGCACATTTTTGAGACAAAAAGTTGGTTTTGTACTCTGAGATATGTAAAATAAATTCATTTGGTCAGTGTACTGTATAGATTTAACAAATGAAGAATAGTTTTTTTCTGTCCTTTTCACTCTGTGTAAAATCTTCATTTTCAAAATCGTCATTTCTGACTGTCCCACTTCTGCTCGGTGTTTTTTCTGTGTCCTTATTCCTATTTTTTTGTGCAGCATGTCTTGTTAGGACAGGAAAAACTCTGTGGGAGTGCCTCCCCTCTGACGGGTTCCTCTTTTCCCCTCCCGGTTCTCTCGGCTCAGTGGGGGTCAAGGTCTGCTCTTGGCCTTAATGTTGACCTCTGACCCCTCGCCTTCACTGACATCAACTCCCAGTGGCTGTGCTTGACCCGCTCCCGGGAGGCCTCCGCAAGCACGCTGTTTTTCTTCATTAACAGAGTCACGCCGGTCTCTCCCCCTCATCCCCTCATTACACACTCGCCACACAACATTTTTTTCTTTTAAATAATAGTGCAATCGCACACTCCGAAAAGCGGCAGCGGCCCACCCAGCGAGGACGTGAAGCCAGAGCAGAAATATGGAGGGTTCAGTAAGTGTGCGTTTTGGTTGTGAAACAGTGGCAGAAAGATTGTTAAGCGGGTTGAGGAGTCAGCAGGAAGAGCGAGTGATAGGGCGCATCCATCCATCACCAGGGAACAAGAGACTGTTTATAAACACTATATGCTGGGAATTTCTTAATGAGATGGTTCCAATCCCTATGAGTAAGGAAGGGAGGGATGGGGGGTCCTCTGTGGTTCTGGTTGCTAGTTCAAATCGCAGTGTTAAAGTAACCCGATGTGTCAAATATATCGATATTTAACAAATAAATGAAGAAATTAGTTTTGTTTTACTAGATATGGTTTTAAATGTGTCCATTAACCCTTCATCTGTTCTCAATTAGCAGTTTATTTTCTCCGATTTAAAGGGGAAAAAGGAGGTTTTCGGTCACGATCCCGCCTGTCTATCTCATGTCAAAGGTTTTATTTGCTTTGTTCAGGGGAGGGAAAGAGAGAGAAAGGGACGGAGAACGAAGGCCACGCTACTGTCGACGTAGAGCAAAAAGAGCGAAAGTTGGACCACGAGAGGGGACGTTAGAGCCCTGACCATCACCTTTGAGACCACAGCCTCTGACCAAGTGAAACCAGACTCTTGGAAGCAGCCTGTGCTACTTTTTACTCGCAGAGGTTACAGTTTGATCCTGTTTTTATAGGCACTCGAGCGCATTCAGTGACTTAAAACCAGGGTTGTAGAAGAAAGCCCGATGTTCTTTAGAAAAAAAAGAGGAGGAAATGGTCTCAGACAAATGAAATTGGCGGTTTACATTCCTCCTAATAATAGCAAATCCTGCTCATTCACGCAAAAGCTATGGACTTTACTCAATAAATCCAGAGGCCACTTTATAGTGAGCGTTGGTTTCCTGCGCTGCTCCGTAAACAGAGGAGGCCATTATCGAGCTGCAGCTACCAGCCAGCAGCTGCCTGATAAGGCATCCCACACGGGATTTATGAACTGACGCATTTATCTGCGAGCCTGTGTTGTGAGTGATCGGAGACTAATGAGTTTGAACGTGTCACATGTTGTTAGTGTCTGGATCTACCAGATCCTGCCCTCTAAATCCACTTTTCATGCTGTTCACCTCGATTGGAGCGGGCGCAATGAGGCCTTTTCGAAAGAATCCTGGCTGCTTTGGAAGTCTCAAAGTCCCCCCTTCTTCTCCTGTTTTTTGACACTCGTCTCCCACAGGATGAGCCCCTCGTGGCTGGGCCTTAGTTCAAAAATGTGTCCGACAGGGTGACACCTCCAGAAGATCCATGGCGACATTTGTACCGACCCAGATACTGTCCCCATCATTTAGAGTCACCCTCACAAACTGCGGCCTCCTCCCTGCTCTCCTCCTCAGAGGTCGGGGACAGTCAGATGGTTCATCACTATTTCGACTTGTTTTGCCACGTGTGTTTTTTTAAACTTGGAAATAACAATATTCCACATGGACCGTCAATAATCTCTCTTCCGGCCATTTTTCATGTCTCGACGTCAAAACACAGTCAATAGAAATCTTAATTATTCAAATAAGATGTCAACTGTTTCCCAAACTTGACTGATAGCCAAGATGTAGAAATGTACATGGATGAGGAACTCAAAAAGCGTTAGTTTCCTTTTCCTTCCCCCTTAAAGAATGGTTCTGCTGATCTCCTTTAAGGGAGACGTGAGGATGCTTCCTTGTCGATAATTTTGAGCATCCTGCAACTTAAGGTTAACAAAGGAAAATTGTTGGGCCGAAATAAACCGTTGAAACATTTTTGTCACCAAGGGCTGTATCTAAACTCTTCCTCCGTCTGCTTTAAATCAGCAGGAAACAAATATAATGAAGTAGCAAATCATCACACAGACGGTTTTACCTGTTAAAATCCCGTTATTAGCTTCAGTTTGTGTTCGTCCCTGACAAATGACAGCAATTTGTTGCAGACTCACATGGTAAAACCTGCGATATGGTGTATTCCCTGCTAATCAGAAGCGTGCACATGCCGTGATTGTGATTTTTGCATTCAGTTCAAACACGGCTATGTGTGAGTGCAGCTTCTCAGAGGCAGCTACAGTTTTAGTCCTGCGCTTTAATTAGGAGTCACTCAGCTGAAAAGCAACTCCGATAAATTCGGGGGGCTGCAGCTCTCTGACAAGAATGGATTCTTCTGACTGGAGAGGAGTTGTGCAGCTTGTAATGGGCGCACTTAGCACGCAGCCGTGTGCTGTATCAGGTGCATTTTCTAGCTGTGAGGAACTATGTTCTGCATTGTGTTCATCGAACTGAAACAGCACCCACAGATTAAATCCAATCATTTGCTCCAACAACAGCATTTAGCAAACAGGCTGTTGCATGGAAAGCAACACGTTTTACGGCAGCCAAACCTTAACTCAGACTTCATTTGTTGGACTGGCAGCGGGGTCAGACTTTTTTTATTGGAACGATTGAGTCTTTGCCTGTTTGTTCACTGACAAAATCTCTGCTGTTTTGAGGACTGTAAACTTGTATACATCTTTGCATCCTTTGCAGAAATGTGCTGACATTTGAATTAATTCTAAAACCATGCTTAGTTATTATATTAATTCCAGCTCTCAGGCTGGACTATTCTTCCAGCTATAGATGGATAGATTAAATACACGAAGATGAAATGTGCGATGCAGTTTCTTTTATTATGTTTGGTTGATGTTATTTTCCCCCATTTACTATATTTCTGTTTGTCGTTTTTCATATAATCAGCTCATCCCAAAGTTGTGTTATCGCTGCACTGTGACCGCAGTGTGTATGTCCCACTTTCGACCTTTGGACACACGCTTGAAGGGAAAGACACCGCGCAGCTTAACACTGCATTCCTGCCGAATTTCTCACTGAGATTGATCGTGATGGTACCAGCGAAAGCTCCAGTTTCTGTGAGCACCACTGACTCTCCCCCCCTGACCCTCCACCATCCACCGGTCAGTCCCGGTTCCCAGAGAGAGCCAGTGAAAACGGATGATAGGAGGGTGGGAGGACACTATTTATCCTCAGTAAGCATGCTGCATGTCAGATGGTCCCAGGCGGAGATTTACAGGCCCACGCCGGGGTCAGGCCGCTGTCTTCTTCCTGCCGTTCGGGCCTTCGACTCCTTTTGCTCTCTTTAGCTGTCTGTGGGGGAGGCAGAGGTCCCCGAGATCCCCCTTTAAATCTAACTACTGTCCAATATTAACTGCAGTGCAAACAGAGCAGTGGTAAACAAAAGGCAGAGTAAATACACTCCCAAGGCCTGGAGGACAAACACAGGTAAATCTGTTCACGGCCCACGTTTAAAGCACCAATTTACGGCCACGTATGAGGAAAGGAGATTCGGTTCACCCGTCGAAACTGGGTCCCTAATCCCTGAAATGATCATAAAAACACACGTTCATGGTTTTATTTAGTTTCCCAATCAAAGGTCCGCCTGCAGGCAGAGAGAAAAACGAGGGGTTGTATCGCTCTGACTCTGCCCACGAGGGTTAAGGTCACCATCTTTCCCCTTCATCCCCGCTGTCTTCTGATCTATGAAGTCACAGCCAGGTCCAGCTGTTTGGATCCCGGTCCCGGCCCCGGCCTTCCTGGGTGTCCCTACTTTCTCTTTTGTCTGCACCCCCCCCGGGGACACGTAAACCCTCCTCCAGCACTTGGTCCACCACTGACAGAGAGCCTCAGCTGCACTCGTCCTCTCTTCTTTTTTTAAAAAAAAATATCAGACCGGACAGCCCAGAGACCTGAACGCATCGGGGGGATTGAGGAATGCCTCTCCACTGCCCAGAACCTTCATATCTGTGCGAATCCTCCAAGTTATCGAGTGTGTGTTTAGATCTGCGCCCCGTGTGAGGACGGACCCCGGGTTGCTAGCCGGAGAGAGGATTTTTCTGTCCAAATGAGAGAGTGGACGGAGTCTGAGATGAGCTTTTCAGCGGGGGGTTTTCTCTCCACCTCGGATGGGTTCTGCTCCACAGAGCAGCTCCAGTACTACGGTCAGTCCACAGCCTTCTCCTTTTTGTCCTTTTTCTCCTCATTTTGATTCCCCCTTCACTTTTTACCATCACTTCTGATTTTTGTTGTGATCATTTCTTCTCCACCATCATGTACAGGTTCATATTTCTTTTGACTGAGCCCTGACTGTGTACTTAGTGAAGTGTTTGCATGTGGACACATACTAAACGCATGCACGTGGCATCAGGAAATTGGTCACATCTAAAAGGTTTTACACACAAATATTTATTGGGATTTTGAATTGATGTTCTCTTAGAGCAAAAGCTTGTTATCTCTCATTTGTCTCTCCTGAAATTCACACATAGATAAATTCAGATTTAAACTGTTGAGCATTTTTGTGTTCGTTTCAACATAACAAATAAAAATACCATTTTCGGTACTCGATGAGGTGTAAATATATATATATATACATTTCAGAAGTTCTAGAGGACCATAATTCCCCACTGAATGAGTCTATGACAATTGTTCATTTACCTGAGACGGGCATATGAATCATAGTCTAAAAAAACCCCAACTTATTCTACAAACTGTTGAACTCTTATCTCAGTGCTAAACCAATTCTCCCTGATCAATGTGTTTGTATGGATTTACAGCCCTTCCCCACTTTGAAGTTCTCATTGTTTTTTTCAGACTTCCCTTTTGTATCAGCTGATTTGTCACTTCTTTCCAAAATTGACAGCACCATTTGAATTTGTCGCTATCAAATGAAGCAACGACAACTTTCCTGTTGGAGTACTTAGTTAAAGGCGACCTGCCTTAACCCAGAGTGGAGGAAAAGTGGGTCACTTTACTCTCCCCGTCACTTTGTCGTCTCACAGTGAGACACGCGGGGTCTCTGACTGCCCTCAGTAAGCCATCCGTCCTCGTCTCATTCCCTCTGACGGATGACGGATGTCTGCTCAGGCCGGTATTTACGGCCTATGAGAACTCGGTGACATGGAAAAAATGGTTGTTGAGGAGGTTCAGCCGGCTCGCTGTAATCGCTGCATGATTGGGAGTTGGGGGGGGCCCTGAGCGTGCATCAGAGGATCTATTTATATTGACTTGTATCATCAACAAATTCTCCCTGTTGTTGGAGGGGGGAGCCATGGGGGGTAAGCTCGCTGGTGTCGTTTGGCTCCCTAGCGTGCGTGGGATGGAAGGGAGGCCGAGGAGTGTTTAGACAGCGTTCAAATGGTTTACAAACAGTGCGAACCACGACTCTGTCACACGCCGAGAAAGCAAGGACCCCCCCCCCCCCCCCCACCCCCCCCCCCACCCCTCCTCACTCCCCTCTAACCCATCGCCAGCACAGTCTGGTAAAGACAGGAAACATCTGGCCACAAATAGAAAGACAGAGGAAGACTAATCAGAGCAGAGACCAGTCCACTTAAAGCTAAGAAGCATCTACATTTCAGTTCCTCAGACAACCGAAAGGTGAACATTTATGGGTCAGATTAAAAAACTAAGTGGAGTCTCAGAAACCTGCCGGAAGTCTCCTGTTTAGTTAATGGTAACTTTATGTCAAGTTGTGGATCTCAAAAAGGAGATTTTGTGTACGATAAAGATTAAATGTCATTTGAGAGGTTAAAAACAATTAGGACATGGGGAAACCTGAAATTGACCTCTTAATTTCATCATCAGTTCTTTAAATTAGAAAGGACTTAACTTAACCATATGAATAAATGTCTAATTAAAGATAAAATCATAAATCTTGTACATATAACTGAATTTACTATAAAAAAAAGGAGCTACAGTACAGATTTGAGTTATTAAGATATTGGGGTCACAACAGAAAAATCCTTTAGAGGGACCGGCCTGGGGACTGACTCACCGTTTCCCTCGCTGTGTTTGAGCTAAGCTGACCCAACATATTGATTACCGTTTGCAAACCTGTTTCTCGTAGCACTCGTGTCAAGTAATGAATATCTAAAAGGAGACGTCCCTTGCAGAGATTCCACTCTGGCCTTCTGGGAAGTGCACGCATCGGTTATGCTCAGTTAGACCAATAACGGAATGAAAAAACCCAAAGCCGTACACGTTATCTGGAGCCTTACGGGTTAAACCACGTGGATGAATCCGGGGGAGCTCCATGTCTCCAGGGCCGGACTGCTGATGGCACACAGACAGAGGGGATGATCCAGGCAAACAAATGGAGCTTTTTTGTGCTGTTTGTGCACTTATTCTCTCATGAGGGCCTGTGCTAGTTAAATTCAGGCTTGTGAGGAACCTGTATAGTTCCATTTGGTAATTATTTTCCAGGTATGAGGCTGTACTGGATTTTGGAAGAGCAGCAGGCTGTTTGTTGCTCTCCCTAAAAACTACCCCAAAAAGTTTCCTCTGGTTTTGCAAATTTGGTTTCACAGCAGCTCAAACTCCGCCCTCGCTTTAAGATTTTTGCTACAGTACAAAAATCCCCACATTTGTAGCATTTGTAGCTCACTATTGGAATGACCCGTTGGGATGTGTCGGTGTCAGAAACAGGCCGGCCAAAAGAGGCGGCGACATCAGTGTCATCTCTGGTAAAGCATGAGAGCGTGTCAAAGGTGGTTTCACCTCAGGAAGAGAGTGTAAGAAACACTCCAATTAAAGTTTTCCCAGCTCACAGAAGAAGCCTGAGCTCCGAGCACAGGGGCTCAAACCCAAAAATGGACTCATTTGAGGACGAGCTGTCCAGTGTCTTTGAATTAAATCAAGATTTCTGCCATAAAATACGCTGTTGATCAAAGATACACCCCATTAACAGTCTGGCTAGTCCCAGATAAGACACAGTGGCCACCTAAAGGTTGGTTGTCGTGACCTTTCCTCTATGATTTCATTTGTTGTTCTGTCACTGTTTCCAATTTAAAGCCTTTTCTGAACTCAGATGTGCTATCTCAGGACAGCTCGTTTTCCTGTGATAACAGGTTCATTTAACCTGCCGTTCAAGGAATTTCATCCTTGTGTTTACATCCGCGTAAAAGTAAAAATAATTATTTCCTACATCGGTGAAATAAGACGACACTTTTGTTTCTTCTTTTTCAAAAAAACATGCAATAAGGTTGACCAGATCCCATTTTCCTGCTTCAGTCGATGATTTTACATCAGACCTTTTCTTTTTATCTTAAACCAGCCACTTTAATTGCTTCATATTATAAGAAAATCAAGATGTGACAGCAAGACTGACGGCCAACTTTATCACATCGTCTGCTCCTCCATGTAACGCACAATCCACAGAGATGGTGTCTTTCCCTGGAAAAGGTTCAGGTCAAAAATTTTCAATGACTTCAACACAATCCCTCCCCCCTATTTTCCATTTGATATTTCCAGCCTTCGGTTTCACGCAGCACAATTCCCTCTTTGCATTCCCGTCCTCATCTGAGACTGGGGCCGGTTGGGCTGGTTGTGTGTAATCAGTGCGTGACAGGTCCCACGCCGGCCTCCAGCTGCACTTTCATAGGCTGCCAGTGGCCACACATGTTTTCTCAGCGGAGAACGGGACCTAACAGAACACACAGGCCCCGCGTCTGACCCGCACGCCCAGTTGATGGACGGCCGTCAGAGACCCAATGGAGAATCCAGGATAACAAAAAAAAAAAAAAAGAGGGGGGGGGGGGGGAAATGATAAAAATTCAAAAAGGGCACCGGGAGTTCTCAGCTGCATCCTGTTTCGGCAGGCTGAGCAAGTTCACAAGTTCTCACCCTGGTCTTTTTTATTTCATCCCTCAAGAGCCGTTAAGAGAGCGAAGTCAAGCGAAGTCACGTAAAAAGCGCGGCCCGGCGATGACCTTTGACCCCGGCCAGCGTCATCCCTGCGTCTTCCAGCGCTCGGCCGGGCTCCGGCCGGGCCAACTGCCATCAGTCAAGCTCTTTTGCTACATTTGGAGCTTTGATACGTGTGTGTGTGTGTGAGACGATTTGGACACAGATCCAAAAGAGAGAGCAGGCAGCCCGTTTAGCTCTGAAAACACGGCGTTTAAAAAAGCACAACAGCTCGTTCGTGTGTGGACGCATTGATGATTTGTTTGTCGATTTGAATTGAATTTGATTAAAATAGTTGACTTGTCAAATTAAGGGTGTTTCATGTTTAATATAAACATTTAATGGCGTTTCTCCTTTACTTTCGTGATGTTTTCTGGAACGATTCCAAACTTTCAGAGACATTGCGTTCTCGAGTTGTTTGTTTTGTTTTTTTTAACCTGAGGTCCACTTTGGATGGACGCCTGCAGCTCAGGTATCTGACATGGAAAAGAGACATTTTTATTCTTGATTCAGGCTTTGCTCTCCTGGTCTTTTTAACACATTAAGGAATAATCTAATGATTTCATCAGTTTAATTAAAGCGCGCACTGTAGTGTAATCCTGGTTTCACTATTAGTTTTTCATGAAAAATGGTACGTATTCTTTCTTAATGTCCAACTTACGGCTCTACAGTTCAGATTTAGCATTCAGCTGTTTAGTTTCAACACAAATGCAATTTTTGGGCTGACAGAAGTCGAGCTTTTCTGTTCCCTTCATCAGCTTTTAACCTCCGGCGCTACAGTTCTCAGGACTTTTATCACTCTCTTCCAGACATGGTGGCCGACCCTCTGGGATATCCCCTGCAGGACCCTGACCTCCAGCTGCTCCCTTACGGCCAGCAGCAGTACCTCCCCTCCAACCTGCCCTTCTCCCTTTACGGCTCCCCCCCTTCCTCCACCCCCTCTCCTTCCTCCTCTTCCTCATCCTCTCAGTTCTGCCACCCTCCCCACCAGTACAGCCCTCAGTTGCTGGACGCCCCCTGCACCTCCAGCCCGGAGCCCTTCTGCGGGGGCTATTCCCAGGGGCCCGGCGCGGGGGGGCTGCTGCCCCTCGGACGGAGGTCCCGGTTGGGGGCCGGAGGGAAGGTCAGAGGTCAGGACGAGCTGTGCGTGGTGTGCGGCGACAAAGCGTCGGGGTATCACTACAACGCTCTCACCTGTGAGGGATGTAAAGGTACCCCCTCCCCCCATCTTTTCTCACGTCCCCGTGACGATTTTATGATTTACACCCGGTCCTTTTTTTTTTCTTTTTTTTTTCATTGTACCGCAGGTTTCTTCAGGCGCAGTGTGACCAAAAAAGCCGTGTATCACTGCAAGAGCGGCGGCGGCTGCGAGATGGACATGTACATGAGGAGGAAGTGCCAGGACTGCCGGCTGAGAAAGTGTCGCGCCGTGGGAATGCTGGCCGAGTGTAAGCCACATCTGGTCGGGGAAAACATCTGAGATGCAGCGTCTGCTTAAAAGAGTGGCCCTCTCTTCTTGTCCCCATCCCAGGCCTTCTGACAGAGGTGCAGTGCCAGTCCAAACGGCTGAGGAAAGGCGGCAAAGGGAGGGGGCCGGAGGAGGAGGAGAGCACGGACAGCCGGAGGGTCAGCTCCACCAGCAGGCTGCCCGGGCAGGTGCGACACATCTGGATGGCTCGGCCGTCCCAGAAAAGCGTCCCGTTGCGTCACGTAGAAATGTAAACATTTATATTTAGACGTAGCGCAGAGCTCCTCGCAACGGGCTTCCGGGGCCAACAGCCAAGTAAAAAAATGTATATTTGAGTCTAATCCTGACAAATGAAGCCCGGGTACAAGCCCCAAGAGCAGTGGGGTTTAAAAGTGTCCTCATTCTGATGCGTTTGGTGAATCTCGTGATGCGGTTTGATGAATGTTACTTTATCTGAAGGAAGAGCTTATTTGCTTTTATGAGCAGCTGGAGTATTCCGCAGGTTTTCTAACTGGTTGACAGAAAGGATGATTTTTAATTTGCGTTTTATCGGATGTTTCGTTGATCCGGTCCTCTGATGGTCAGATTTTATGGTTACCTGTCGGACATTTGATGGCAGACAGCTGGTTTACTGGACGGCTGTGTGACTGGATAGTGGGAAGATGAACCATAATCAGTGTTGGGGAGTAACGGATTACATGTAACGACGTTACGTAATTTAATTACAAAAAAAGAGTAACTGTAATTCGTTGCAGTTACAATGAGAAAATATGTAATTCAGTTACAGTTACTTCTGAAAATATTAAGAATTACAAATTTAGTTACATTTTTTTAAAAATATCAAGAAAAACTTTTGCAAAATATGCAACTCACTCATAGACGAAGCGTATTGATTTACTAATATTTGACTGTTTGGTGTTGATGCGTGACAAACGTTTATCGATGTCTATGACCTAGCCTAGCTTAGACTACCTAGCCAACAATTACATTTTAAACAAGTTAACTTGTAACTGTAACTGATTACATTTTTAAAGTAACTTACCCAACACTGACCATAATTACTGCAAAATTTACTGAAGAGTAAACTGATGCTGCACTCACACTTGGAGTGAAGTAACGGTACTGATCTGAGATTAGTTTAAGCCCGTGTTAACTTCCGTCTCCTCCAGGCTGTGTCTGCCAGTCTGACTCGAGAGCAGAAGTTCGTGGTGGACAGGATGGTGGACGCTCATCGTCTCTACAGAGGGCCGGACGGCGGCAGTCAGACGGCGAGTCACGGTTCCGGGATCCCGTGCACGTACGTGCGCCTCCCTCCGAGCCGTCCTGACGTTGTCTCTCCTGTGCGTGTGGGCAGATGTTTGAGTGGCCGTGCGCAGCAGAGGGGGAGGCCCCGCCAGATGTTCTGTCGCCGCACCTCCAGAGACTGCTGCAGTTTGCCCGGACAGTGCCAGGTAAGCCGGAGTCGAAAAGGAAGCAGAATAAAACAGAGAATAAAACTCAAAGAGATTAGAGGCGTTGGGTGAAATCCAATATGGAATAAGTGAGCCATTTATAAGTCGTTTTTTTTAGATTTCAAAGCTCTGATCAGTTAGAATAATAAAGGCAACACTAAAACAATCCACTAAGGCAACTGTTCCGAATATCTCAATAGTTTCTTAAACCTTTAAGGGTTTCATCTCAATATGATCTGTAATATTCTCAGTCCAATGACTAAGCCACCTTCAGCTCATAGACTTCATCTTTAGCAAAGTTGCGTTGAATTATATTCCCTTTGTTTTAGTGAAAAGAATCTGCATGATGAAGATCTCTGATTTTATGTTGGTCTTATTTTCTACAAAAGATACAAAAAACTAGAGCTCTCGGTGTCGTTTAAAAGCTAGAATGTAGCCAAATAATTACAGAAGGAGCTTTCTAAAATCAGATATCCCTCACTCAGGGTTCGACCTGCTGGACTTCTCTGACCAGAGCGCCCTCCTGTCTGCCTCCTCACTGGAGGTCATGTTCCTGCTCTCAGCGCAGCAGTTCTCCAACAACCCGGCGAGCCCCAGTCCAGGTCAGCAACCCGCACTGACCGGAGAGCAAACGCCTCCACTTCTCTCAGGCTATCAGGCTATCTATCGTAACTATCCTTCCTCTTGCTTTGCCATCAGTCCTGCAGCTTTTCAGCACGTCAACACACAACTGGATCCGAAATGGAGAATCCAAAGAATTCCTCCAGAGCAGGAGTCTGATGGCTGCAGGTGAGCTCCAGCTCTGCCGGCCGGGCCCAAACGGCTCGGGGGGGTTTGTGAATGAAGCGTTTTTGTCGTGTGCTCACAGGCAGCGGCGAGGATCTCCTGGGGCCCGTGCTCAGCTTCCTGCACAGCATGGTGACGCTGCAGGTGACGGAGGCCGAGTACGCCCTGCTCACGGCCACCGCTCTGCTCTGCTCAGGTCAGAAGTACAGCAGAACCTCTACTTACGATCGCCTAAACATTCCAATTTTCCAACATACGAAGTGAAATTTGACAAAATATTCGACTCGACACCCAAAGTAAATTTACAACATATGACATCCATATGACGTCGAAGTCGTAGAAAAATATGTATAAAATACAAAAATGAAATTAAAATCAATTAAAATCCCTTTTAAAAAAAAATTTCTTTATAATTTATTTCTTTTGATATCGCTCTTAAATAATGCATTTGTTTTATCGCTATGTGTAATTATCTGAAGTATTTATGAACGAGTTATTGTACCAATTAGACGAATTATAGTGTATTTTGATGGCAATATTTGAACAAACGTACGAATATTTGAAAATATGAAGAAGGTCCTGGAATGAATTACATTTGTAGGTAGAGGTTCGACTGTACTCAAATACAAAAAAATCAATAAGTTGAGATGATTCTGTGTGATCTAACGAGGTGAACTCACCTGTTGGGACGTAAATAAAAAGGAGCAGACCTCAGTCGGCAGTGTTGGTAACCCATGTGTGTGTGTGTGTGTGTGTGTCCCTGACCTGCAGACCGGGCGTCCCCGCAGGCCGCCGGCCGCGTGGAGAAAATGCAGGAACTGATCCTGGACCTTATGTCCAAAGTGTGTGGGGCCCAGGCTGGAGCTGCGCGAGGGGCCCCGCAGCGCTTCGGCCGGCTGCTGGGCCGGCTGACCGAGCTCCGGACCGTCCACCACAACTACCTCCTCCTGGAAAGGCAGCAGCGGGGCCTCTGACCCCGGGCACAGGCCGCAGATGTTCGTCTCCTTTGCGGAGCTCCCCTGACCCACGCTGCTTTCCGTGGGACTATGTTGGACGGACAGGTTTGACTGTGGAGAAAAACTGACAGCGACTTCAGCTTTGCATTTATTATAGACCTTCAGCTTCTGAATCCTTGTAATTTGGTTTTGCAAAATCCTTTTTACTGGTCTTTTTATACTTTGTATGCAGTTAAAGTACGGGAATTCAGTACGTTTTTACTTTGTTGAATACTGCTAAAGCTTCTTTGTGAACGTTTTCCTATGAAACAGATCACTGAGCTCCTGTGTGGATTCAGGGAAAAACACAAAACTCCATCGTGTAAGAACCCAAAGACGTTCTCTTTATTTCCCAATGTGAGGAAATAATTGGTTAGACAAAATCTGGTGAGCAGGTAAAATAAAACAAAAGTACAAGCTGACAAATATGTACTTTTTCCATATGATGAAATGGGGCTCTGAATAATAAATAAAAATAAACTTTCGGGGTGGGGTCCTCCAGCTCCAAAGGCTGGTGGTTGGTTGTGAGTAAAATCAACATAAAGCAAACAGGCAAAGTTATATGTTAAAATATTGGCTGCATGTTTTTAAAACCTCACTTCATTTGTTTTAAATAAGATTTAATTCACCATTTAACCAATATAGCTTTATTTCTATAGTTCTGTCTTCCATAAATAAATTATTTCTCTCTGTATCAAAAAGAGAATTCAAATATAAAGAACAACGGCTTATTGTGTCGCATGATGAAAATACAATTAACACACACGCAGCACAATGAAATTACATTAGAGACAAGCTAAAGTACACGGCAGCGAGTCAGGAATTATTTCATCTGCACGAGCGCCCGCAGCCTCGCTCCGTCACCTGTGGCTTGATTGAAATACGCAATTTAAAAAGCCGGCATTCGATTAAAATGCCTTCGATAATACACATACATATGTACACCAAGTGTGTCATTAAAATATACAGGAGTCCTTTTCAAAAGATTAACAGTAAAAAAACAAAACAAAATGACTTTATAAAACATGGCAGTGATCCATTCATCAGTCATCTGCAGTTCATAGAAAAGTCAGATCTCTACTCTGATAGTTTGATCCCTTGGCAGTAGCATGATACAAAATAGTGGGAATTCTTCCACATTTGATCCACACACACACATACACACACACACACACACACACGCACACACGCACACACAGATTTATGACATCCAGGATAGGTAAGCGGACACCTTGAAACGGGAATTCACGCTTACTGGCTGCAGCAACACGGGGCTTAAGGTTACTTCATTTCCACGTCTTAACGGCGGCGGGGCGGCAGACAGCGGCGCTCTGTGCGACACACACTAGTGGTTTGTTCATCAACTTCTGTCCGGGGCGGCCCGCACGCGCCGCGCTGTGAATCCAAATCCGCTTGGCAGCGGGGCTCGGCCCACCTGCCGCCTTAAAGGGGGGGGGGAACGGCACAGAGGCCGACTGTGGGCGGCCGGCGGGCTCACAGTCGCCCTCTACAGGTAGTTGGAGGGAACGAAGCAGTGGCTGTGGCTGACCCGGCTCTGGTGGATCATGGCCCGGTCGTAGGCCACCTGCACAGACTTGCGGATGCTGGACTTGCGGCCCTCCATGATGCGCAGCTTGTCGGCTGTGTCGTCCACGCCCAGGGGGGTGAGTTTGTCCCGGGGGAGCCACTGCCTGCAACAGCCAGGAGAGAGGTTAAGATCCGTTTTAAACGTGGACGCCGATCACTGCAAGACCTTATGTGGGACTCATGTCGCTTGTGTTTTTGCTGTACACATGAAAACCTCTTTGATCCTGCTGTATCTGCAGCAGCAGCCTAATCCAATCAACGCGTTGGGCCAATAAAGAAGAAAAAAAGGGGTTTAAAATACATGAAAAAAAGATTTAAAAAAACCTAAATCCATCTCACACATCCTGATAATGTGGCTGCATTTCCCCTGCATGTATACATTCAGCAGGACTACAAATGACCCGGGAGCTGTGGGCATGCCCCCCCGACTTTCAATGCGGTCATTCATCACGAGAAGCCTGAAAAAAAGTAGCTGCAGCTGGAAACAACCAGACAGGACCGAGAGCATCTCATTCCAGGAGCTCATGTCTAACTTGACCACTTCCTATGTGATCATTTCTCACTTTTTTTCCTCTGTAATGTAACAGATCGATCAGGGGAAAACAGCCCAGTGCTAACACTGAATAAAAACACGTAATCATTTACTGGAGTCGTACAAACTGAGGCCAGTGTTGGAACTGTAGCTCAAATGAACTGTGGACGTAAACATGGGGTCCACTGTTAGCAGCTCTCCGTTACAACAGCCCATGTCTCTGCAGGTGATGGTGCAGGCTGGGTGGAATTAAAGACACCAAACACCAACTTGGAGCCAAAATAAACAAAGAAACACCAATAACCCCTGTGCTGTACTCATTATCCCTGATGGTGAATAGGTCAGATGATGAGACATGTGAAACCCACCATGTCCGCTTGTTGTCAAAGAAAAGCACCAGGTAGAGTCTATCGCTGGCCTCCTCCTGCCTCTGCTCTCCCAGATGGAGCACGTCCTTAGGTGGGACTGGGATGGGAACTCCGTTGTGCAGCAAGCCCTCCTCGGGCATCTCTGGGTCAATGATCTGAAAAAAAAATAGGGGGTTTAGAGGCACCGAAATGTTGACAGCTCATATAACACACCAATGTGGTGTAGATGAAGTGATTACCAGAGCAGGGTAGGAGGGATATCCCCTGCATTTGGCCCAGACCAGGTCAAGAGGCTCCAGCTCGGCCTCATCCTCTGACATTTGGCCTCCGTTGCCTTCAAGACAGCAGAAGACACTCATGTTCGCCATATTTAAGAAAAACACAAACAAAAGAAACTAGGTTTTGGATGAAATTCAGGAGTGAAAAAAAGGGGTGAAATACCAGTGTAATCTGAATCTCCGTTGACGATCTCCAGGAGAGGAACTTTGGAAAGAGATGGTTTGCCGAGGCTCCGTTTGGGGGGCGAGCTGCTGGGAAACGGCACCAGGCATTAACCACCGACGGCTATCTAAACAGCAGAGGAGAATACTACAGCAGCGGGCGGCTCTTACATCTCTTTGTGGAGGACGGGGCACGAGCTTGACTCCGAATCCGAACCGCTGTCTTTGTGCCTGTCGAAGCCGTTAGTTAGTCCTGAAACAAAAGGCAGAAATAACAGATCAGCTTCGGCAGAAAAAAGGAGGAACGCAGCTCATTTTCAGCTCCCTTTGTGCGGTCGTGTCTTAAATACAGGAACCGTTTGGGGACATTGTGTGATTAAAGAAAGGAACTACGTCTAGCTTCTTACCACTCTCCAGTGTACGACTGAGTCTCTTGTCCAGCTCGGCGTCTTTGCTCGGGGTCCATGGCTCATTAAGCGTTGGGGGTCCTGGGCTTTTCTGGGGGGTCTTGGAAGGAGTGGACATGGCTGTGGAGGACGGCGTGCTCGCTGTAGAGTTGGACGCTGGGGGGTTGTTGCTTGTGTTCTCGTCCTGGAGCCCCTTCCCATTTACCAGAGTGTTGTCTCGCTCCCTGAAAAGCTTCGCCCCGTTTTTTGCCTTCTTGAACAACACCGAGGTTCGTCGTCCCACTCCTCCGGTGGCGGGCCGCAGGGGGACGCTGAGGCCCGGCAGTCCATTGGCCATCGGCTGGCCTTCACTGTGCAAAGTGGGTGGCGGCGTTGCTGACCGCCCTTGTGCTTTAGTGCAATTCCTGCTGTCCGTGGCGCTGTTTGAGGAGTCGCTGTCCATCTTAAGGCGCTTGCAGGGCCAGCTGGGGGACGCGGGCTCTCTGGTGATTGGCCGCAGAGTGGGAGGCTCCAGGGGGGCATCTCCCTGTCGTGGCGGAGGAGCTGGTCCTGTGGGTTCCAGTGTCGGGGGAGAGGTGGATTTGAGGTCTTCTGAAAGATGAGCACAGAAGGAAAGTTTGAGGTCACTCATCACGCATCCAAACCGAAGTACTGCTTTATAGGAAGTGTGATGCGGTGGTGTAGTAGTCACGCTGGAGTATGGTGTGACTTCGTGATGATTTACATTTCATTCTTACACTCTAGCCACAGCCCAAAAGGAGTTGAGGAATTCAGTTAAAAATAGCACCCGTTCAAGACAAGTGAACAAAGATGTTGCTCTCACAACTGTACACCAGCAGCATGGTAGCATGGCAGCCTTTCTGACTGAAGTCACAACTGTTCTGCTGTCGTCCTCTATGGAGACTGTTTGACTGGACTAGTCTGAGGTCAGACGTGGAATGGTATGGCATGACTGGACATGGCCAATGGAGAGTGGTGAGTCCATGAGAGTGATGTACAGAGGAGGTGCAGACACAGAGTGCACTGGGAGAGAAGAGTTGTGAGGCAGCCATGGCTAACGAGACTCTGTGGGCCCCTACTTACTAGACTGGAGACAGTGGGGTGGTTGGGGTTGGTGCGTGGGGGGGACCCTGGCTCAATTACCTGAGGACAATGTGCCGTTAGCTCATGTTCACAACTGGTCTCATAGAAGAAAAAAAAAAAAAAACGTGGCTTTCAAGGTTCATGCATTGGCAATTGCGTACTACTGTCAGGCCAGCGGCTCCCGTCACCCACCTTTGTCTGAGGACGAAAGGCCGTTATCGGCCTTGGCATCTTTGTCGTCATCTTCCTCCTCATCCTCTTCATCTTCCTTGAGGTGTCCGTTGTGGAGGCTGTGGCGGGAGTTCTGACCCTGCTTGTAGCGGACGTGGTTGATCTCGCGCCGCAGCAGGCGGATGCGTCGGGTCCGAGCTCCACTGCCCCGCATGGATGTGACGAAGTCCAGCTTTTCCAACAGCTCCTTCAGTTGTTCTTCCACCGACATGTGGAGTCGGTTATCGGGATCCAGCACGCTGTCAACTGAACAGAGCGGGGACTTAATCCAACTGTGAGGCAGGCATGGAGGGGTTAATAAATTACCACGGCTCAGACTTAACCTCGGTTTCTCTATGTAATATGTAAAAGTGGTTCTTCCCCCCATTACAAAAGTCATCCTTTTACCATGAAAATAAACATTTACATCCACTGAGGCACCAAGCAGGTATTCCTTCCAGTGTAAAGTTAAATCTGCACTTTTTGTCCTTTGGTCTGCTTTCATTGGCTAGTCTTTGTGTATATGTGTTTGTCTTTGTCTTATTGCTATACTAAATGCTTGCTTCTGAAAGTGTCATATTGATATTACCAACAACAAAAAATATTAGAAGCCAAAGAAAATATACCAAAACAAATTCACCCTGAAATCTCGGTAAAAGTGAGATATGCTCTGTCATCAAAGCACACACCAAAAACGGACTTACCATCCTCCCAGGTGCATGTGTAAAAGTCTCTTTTCTGGGGGGACTCTGGGAGATGCATGCCCGTGTCCAGGTCCAGGACGGTGTTGCTGGCTTGCCGCTGGGCGTGACGCAGTACGGCCCCCCCTAAGTCCCGGAGGCGCAGCGCTGTCCTGTGAAAGACCGTGTCTTTGGCATTGTAGACGAGGCAGTTGGACACCATGAGGTTGAAGTCAGCCTCAATGTCAGCCACTGAGCGGTAGCTATGACGTTCCAGCTTGGAGCGCATGGTGGAGAAGTCCATTGGTTGACTTATAAACTCCAGGTAGTCTGGAACCTGAGGACATGTTGGGGCATGAAAATGTGTTAATGTGTAAAAACTGACCCAAAACAAGAAAAAAGAAAAGAGAGAATAAGAAGACATTATGTAAAACTGTGTTTCATGTCATTTTGTTTTGCTAAAGCAAAGGTCATTCTAGTGCTGCAGCACTCAGATTCTGCAGGGAGAGGCTGTTTGAACACTTTAAAGAGGATGATTTGCTTTATATTCAACTTTCTGTGTTTCTGAATTAAAAATAGGGTTGACTTTGTAATTGTAAAAAAGTGTTCCTGCTGCTCCTTTACTGGATCTGGTGTCATGAGCCCATCTTACATGGCTAATGCTGGAGCTTTCCCGTTATCAAGCCTGGGGTAAAACTCTGGCACACTTACATTATCCATCTTCATACTACTTTATCTAAATGCCGCTACAAGTGGCAGCCCTTACGCATTGGGCAAGGCAAGTTTATTTGTTTAACACATTTCATGTACAGAGAAATGCATTAGGGGCAAAACTTTTGCTAATGGCACCACCAATATTCAAGAAATATGTTAAGGGAACATGCAATGCACACAACTCCAGAGCCGTAGAGTAAAACTATGGTGCGTGTGCACATGGACTCGGCATGATGATGAGAAAACAAATATCTGACCTCCTTTATGTCAACTGGCTGTGCAAAAATCTGAGCTGTGTCCTTCTCCTGAAGTTGGTCCAGAGTGGAGCGAAGCAGCACAAACATCGGAGTCAGCTGCATCTCTAGAGCTGCCTGGTGAACTTTGACCTGCAATTTGGAGATTTGCATGTAAGGTAAAGAATTATCTTCTTAAAAAATTAGAACCATTATTTTCATTGAGGTGAATTTAAACTTTTATGGGCTTTTTCTGAAAAGACATTTCTAATTTAAGATGGCTTATGACTTTGTAATATAGCTTTCCCATTACATGGTACTGAACGGTAAGATAGGGCAGGACTGACTTTTCTATTGTCATTTGCTGTAGGTACTACCATGTAACATGGTTATCAAAACTATAAAGTGCCATGGACACACGGCAGATCTCTGATTTGTCGCAGAGGATAATCATCTGTGGGCATGAACATTATCTCCATAGCAGCACACACTAAAAAAACAACTCTTAAAATACACATCATGTCAACATTGAGTATGGATTTATAGATCATGCTGTCTTGAATTGACAGGAGCTTCTAAAAGCTCTTAAACCATTCTGAACTAAAAGTCGACATATCTATTTAGTGCAATAACCACTCTGGGCTCCACAGTTTTCACTTTTAAGTCGTTTTGGACAAACGGGCCAGATGGATACAATGTAATAAACACACAACTTGTCAGTGCTGCTGCAGCTCTACACGCCATGCACTAAACCGGGGACACCACCCTCAGGGATGTGAGACTGTATGTAACGGGAAACAAAGCGAGTCGGGCTGTACTGCGACGTACCATGAAATGGAAAAACGCCAGATCGGCCATCTGTTTGTTCATTTGGCTACTCATAACAATGGCTCTGGGATGGTACAACGTCTCAATGAGACAGGAGGGAACGGAGGACCTACCCTTTGTGCTACCATGTTAAAAAAAAAAAAAAAAAAAAGGTGCATGGATATTTAGATTTGTTTTTTTTTTTTAAATGAATGAAAAACCCCAAAGTGCAACATTTGAACATAGAAGCAGAATTTATACATGCGCTGTGAGTTACCTGTTCTCTTTTAAGCTTCTCTCTTTTGCGTATGAGCTCTACCAAAAGTCTGGCTTTTTCGAGGTCGTGCCGCAGCTTCTGCCAGTACCTCAACGCCTCTCTATCTTCAGAAAACTTCTCATCCACTTCAGGCTGCAAAGGACAACTCGTTTTAGTGCTAGTAGAAACAGTCAGAAATGTATCTAATTGCAATCAATTTGTTTTAAAACTATGCTGATCGTTGCTATCATTAGAATAGAAACACAGCTCTAGAACTCAGTCACAGTGCTCCGTTTGCTGGTCTGACCTGCTCTGGAGCCTTCTGGGTCTGGACGTTAGAGTGCAAACGCCGGACTAGTGGCACACCGTTTCGCGACTGACGCTTTAGTAACCAGTAGTTATGCAGCCTCTGCATGAACTGATTTTTCCTTTGGAACAAAATTCCTTTACAGAAAATATTCAACCTGAAAAACAGAAAAAGACAAAAGATTATTTTACTGTCAACATAACTAACAACTATTTCTGTAGGTTATTATTTTTACAACCAGATTTTTTAGTAAAATTGAATATTTTACCAATTGAAGCTTCTCTCAAAATGTGATCATTTAATCAAAACCCCACTTGATAAAGAAAAAAACATATATATATTTTTTTATAACAGAAGAAAAAGTTTTATCAACAAAAACACAACTTCACCTGCTTGTTGGTATCTGAGGCACCGTCACCTGAGGTGAACCAGTGTGTTGGTCTGCTGACTCTGCGTTCTTCTTCCCTTTCTTTTTATCTGCTTTGGTATCATCTTCAGACTTTCTGCTTTTTTTGGGTGTAGTTGGACCCTCTGTGTAGGCACTCCTCCCTCTGCTTGCCCTCCCCCTGCTGCCCACCACTCGTCCTTCGCTCTCGTCGTCTGACCCGGTCTCTTGTCCTGGAGGAGAATGGGCCTCGCAAAACGCTGTCTTTTTCACTGAGAATGTAGTGCCGTTAATGTTTGTTTCTCGCACGGGATCAATTTTCATAAACAGGCCGGCGCGTTGAGCGCAGGTGACATGAAAAGCAGTGTAACAGTTGGCTTTGTGGCACTGAATAGATGCACCACGGCCCTTTTGCTTGCACAGGTAACAAGTCAGTTTCCAGCGTGCTGGGGGAATGTTATTAATCCCTTCCACCGGTTCAAGAAATACAGTGTTGGCAAAGCAAACTTCGGGGATCCATATAGCACAGACAACATGGGCCCAGCGGCCATCGCTAGTTTGTTTGAAAGCTCCCCCCCGATTTGGACACAGAACGCAGTCAACAGGTTTCTGAGGGGACTGAAGGCAGCAGCGGCACAGCCACTGTCCTTCGGGAACATAGGGCACTCCGTAACACTCCTGGTGCACAGCCAGGTTGCAGGAGTCACAGAACAGGATGACGTTGCTGTTGAGGCACTCGTCATCCAGGCACACGCAGCAGAAGGCATCGTCATCAATAGTGCTTTGAGAAGGCGCCCGGCTGCGGGCTTCTCGGTAGGCCTCCTCCTCCAGCCGATCCACCAGCAGCTCAAAAGTGTCAGACGACACAGCAGAGAAGCCCTCCGATGTCCGGCCGGCGTTTACCATCTCCAACCAAGCAGTGTCCTCTTCGTCCATGTCATATTCTGCCTCATTTTCCTTCTCTTCAGCTGAACGTTCGATGTAGCGATAGTATGCGGCAGGCAGAGGAGGAGCCTCAACTGGCGTGAAGGTTTCCAGAACACGAAACTTGGGTTCAGGAAGAGTCACGTGGTGATGGTGTGACGTGTTAAGCTTTTCAGGTGATTGAGGTTCGGAAGTAGCACGGTGGTTCTTGGAGGGTTGGGGTGACTTGACAGAGGAGCATTTGGACTCTTTCCTGCGACCTCTTGTTGTGACAGTTTTACGTGTTGTCGGGGTACTGCTGGTGGGACAGGACGACTGCTCACTGTTCTCTTTGTTGCTGTTGCACTCACTGATATCCTGAGCCATCATTTCATCTTCTGTAATGACCTCCAAAGGATCCAGGATGGAGATGCGGTGAAGTCTACCATCCAGTTCTACCTCCACCACCTTCTGAGCCTGGGCATAGGTAAGAGTTTCTCTACTTGGAGATGCTTTAAGGCTGTAGGGGGACGGAGATCGTTGGCGGGCAGCCCCACGCCCGTTGGCTGTCCCATTACTTTTTTTTACATCTGTTCTTCGTCCTCCTCTTCCTCCTCCTCCTCCTCCTCCTCCTCTTCCTCCTCCTCTTCCTCCTCCTCTTCTTCCTCCTCCCGCTCCTCCTCCCGCTCCTCCTCCCGCTCCTCCTCCACCTCCTCCGGCCCCCTGGCCTTTTCGACGTGGCTTCCTCATAGGCCACTTGTCACACTTTCCCACCTGTTAGTTCAAATAAAACAAAATTAGGAACACTGGTAAATATCTGTATAAAAACAACTTCCCTTAGCTTTTCTTGATAGTGCATATTAAGATAGAATATAAAGACGTTTCCATTTATACTGTATTTAGTATTCTGCAATAGCTTGTTGTCATAAAAAGAAGAGCAAATATGCAGTAAATTTCTCCTATGTTTCTATGATGCTGGCAGGCTAGCCAAAGGAGGTAAACTTCTTAATAGGATTAATCTATCAAATACACGTGTTGTACATTACCTAGGAGTAGCTTTTCGTTATTGGTCTCATTTCCAATGTAAACATTGCTTTGCATCAGAAAATGCAAGGTCTGGCAAGCAAAAGGTGCAATTAATTAAATACAGTATTGATACATAGCATCAACTATTAACACACAAACGGACATTAAAAATGAAGCAAAGATTTTTCTTGACTTTATCTCACAAATTGCAGTCATAAGTAGGGTTTGCAATATCAGTGAGGTCTGTCCAATCAGCATTCAGAAATGTCTGATTGACTCATCAGAGAGCCAATCAGCGACACACAGCCGCCTCAGCGGCTCACTGTCCTTATTTCTGGAGTAAAATGTCTGCCATATTTACACTTTTAAAACACTGTTAAAAGCGCCGATGTGGTTAAATTGTTGACAGTGGCTAGGAGAAGTTGATTTATTCTCTTCTTGGCACGTCATTATGAGAATGCCATGGTAAAGCGACGGTTCTCTGGCATACACTACCGTGTAAAGAAAATATCAACTAGCCTGCCTGCTAACTTTAAAAGATGAACAATTCTAATTAGCTGGTTTGTTTTGTTTTTTTGTATAATGACAATGTAATACTTAAAACAGACACAAGTTAATGACAACTGAACGATAGGGAAGGGCAGTAGGATAATTAGTTTAAGCTATCTTACCTATTATGGCAACTGACAGGAGTACTCGACAGCCGGCGGTTTGAAGCTGCTTTTACAGTAATGGTTGCCTAGCTGGACGCCTCACTTGCTACACTCTTGAAGCTAAAAGCTATGGTTAGCCTGCCACAATTTACTGCTACAATCTTAACATTTTACAATCTCGAAACTCTTATTTTTTCTTAACGACACGGGTCTGCAGTCATCCCTAGAGGTACAGTGAAAACTATAATGATATATCTGCATTAATAACCTGAGAGACACCTTATTTTGTGAGGACTAATATTAGCCTCTTTCGGCTAGTTGGCTAGCTGTTTGGAGTCTTGACTATGTGCTAAACCAGTCTAGCCAGACTAAACATAAATGACTTCCGGATCCATACTTAAAAAATAATGCAATTTTTGCAACATCACAAAATAAGCTTATTTTAAAAAGCAGGGAAAAAATAAACAAGCAAAAGACAAATGCATTTAAGTGCTCAACGACATTCATGCCTGGAACTATTAGTTTTAATATGTGTTAGCGTTATTCATCACTTCAGCAGTCTTTAGTCTGTTAACAATAAACCAGTGAAAGACAATACTCAATCGAGAACTATTACTCAACATCTCAGACTTTCCATTAATACAGTATCAATTTAAGCAATATCATGTATACAATTGTTCATTTGAACTAATTCAAATATATTTCAAGATATAAAGGATTTCAGTTTTCATTGTATATTTAAATATGTACAAAATGTAGAGGATTCAATGTATAATTAATTTGATACTAAAACCCTATACGTTTAAAATATTTTCAGGGTTTTAAAAAAATAATCTTATTTGATTTTTTAACATATTACAATTCTTTTTATTCACCAACAGGTGACTCAACTTTGGCGTGTCTACTCTTACTCTGAAAGCTGGTTGCCTGACTTCCGCTTTACGGTCGCTTTCAGGCTGCCTTGATGAAGGCAGATAGTTAAAAGTTCTGCCTGCCCAGAGCCTGCCCCCTTGACGTCATCAGAGCATGATTTTCGCGCGCAAGCCACTTAGCAGGTTAAAGCCAGATCAAAGTCTGCCGTGACCTGAAGAGTGCATCATGCACCCTGCGTGGGTTTCGATTCAAAACAAGCCCCTTCAGAGCAACACTGAGCCTTAACCAGCAACGTCTCTCTGGCGTCACTGTCAGAGACGCAGTAGCTGCTCACTATTCTTTCTGTTGCTAAGAGATAAAACAGGTGCTCAAACCAATAATTCACATTCAATATCAAATGATGCTGGAAAATGCAATATTCCAGGTCTTGCAACATTCATATGCAAAACCCAAACATGTCAACTGATTTCTGACATGATTCAAATGATATGGCATGTGGGATAGTTAAAAAATAACAACAAAAATTATATTTTGGTCTTATGGTTTAATTGAAAACAAATATTACAGTAATTGATGCAGACACAATCAGTCACGATAAATCTGTAACACAGTAAACTGATAGAGAATCTGTAACAATCCATGTTTTGCAAACAATTTCACATCACATAAAAAAAGGAGGGATACTCTTAAAATAGTTACTTCTCAACACTGATTTAAAATCCAAATACCCAAAGAATGAAAGAAATAGTGTAAATCCGGGGCTAGATTATACATTGGCTGTATGGGGTGTTGGCGGCCGCATCAGGAGTTACATCAGATTCATCAGATCATGACGACATGGTCAGAGTGTTTTTTCTCTTCGAGTCCCGTCGTGGGAATGGCACAAAGCTCTTCACCTCTTTGAAACATAACCCTGAAAAAGAAATGAGCAAACAGTTGGGTTCCTGCATGTGTAGCATCTCCACAGTTGCAGTGATTGTTTCAATAAAGAAGCCACCACAGACATAAAAGAACCTCAACATCAGAGGTTTATTTTTAGAAGAAAAGAAGAACTTCAACAGATTTTGTGGTTGTGGGCACAAAGGTGCTTTTCATCCAGTGGTAAAGCAGACCACTGGAGATATTTCCCAGCATTAACACTGTCCACTCACATATGTGCCACTCCTATCCGTTACTGTTATGCATTCACAGACATCAGGAAAGGCCAGATTATATAACGCACGGATCCTAGGAGCTCTGTAAAATTGTGATGCAATTATCCCGACAAAGCTGCCCATTTCTCTCATTACAGCCGTTTGACGCTGAGACAGTCACTTACGTTTCCACTCATCCAGGGACAGCGTGGCGTTGTCGTGACTGTCGTCGTACGGCGCCGGCTCCGGAAAGTCGTCTGGTTCCCGTAGGGTGTCAAAGTAAGGGTGCTCCAGAGCCAGTTCAGCTGTGGGCCTCTCGTCCCCATCCAGGACCAGCATCTTTTCCAGAAGATCGATACCTGGAAATAAGCAGAAAAACGCAGCGATTCAATAAAAGGCTCGGCAAAAAAAAAACTGTGATGTAATAGCTACATTTTACTGATGCCTCCTAAACGGATGGCAGGTTGCAGACCGAGATTCAATTATGTTTGTAACAGTCATTTTATTGAGTTTTTTCAACCCGTTTAAGGTCCCAGATTTAGATTCAATCCATTGTGTTACACCAGGGAGAAAAAATGTATCAAGTAGGGAACGTTGAGTTTTTGACCAACATGTAACCAAGTGGGAGAACGGTAAGACTGAAGGCTTTCCCGTCCAAGGCGCAAAATGTAACAAACGTAACAGAATGTAGTTAAACTCACCATTTACGCTGGCCCTCGGAAATAGTGTTGAGAAGTCTTTTCTGGGATAGCAGGGGAGAGCTTTGACGTAGTTTCTGGCCTGTTTTAGAGATCCATAATTTAAGAGGTGAATGCACAATTACTGAATAATATCTGTGAACATGAGCTAGGTTTATTTAATTTACATACTGTTCAGCAGATAAATAAATAATTATAACAGTCACAAAATATGCACAGAACTTTGTCTTGATGTTGAATTAATGAATTAACAATTAATGATAAAAAGGAGACTTTACAAAGACAGAAAACAAGTTGGCGCGGCTTCTCTGAAAATCTAAAAGAGCTGAAAGGAAAAACAATCCAATTAACTGCAGGCTAAAGCTAAGAATGAGCCAATCCGAACCAGAAATGCTCTCGGCAGGTGATGTAAAGCTACGAGGCACAACAAGGAAGCTTTGCTTGCTTGATTTAGCTCCCCTGAGACATTGTTATGCAACAGCAAACGGAGGAACTTGTTGAGCTTCGCTCAACCCCAATCATAACACTCCAGTGTGACAGGTATGTGGACACGGTTACATATCTGGGATGATTAAAAATCGTGTTAAATCAGGCTGATGTTGAAGAAGAACTTCACCCAAACAACACAATGTCCGACTCAGGTTGGAAACGGAGCGAGACGAGTTCGGTTTTAACATCGGGGAGAGTTCATGACAAGGATCTGTCTCACCTCTTGAGTGTCCAGCTTCTGTATGAACTCTGGTCCAGGGACTCCGGTCACTTTCATGATCTGAGTCAGCTGGTCCATGTCTGGCAGGGGTTCCAGTCAAGGATTTGAAAACCTGGATTAATAATTAACATCCATATATGAGCAGTGGAATATTTGGTTTACATTCGGCTCATAAACAGAATCACTGAGGGAAAGGAAAGCCACAATGTGACATAGTGACAGTTTTATTTGCTAGTAGACCCAATAAATCAGCGAGATGCACCAGGTGCAGAATGTAATAACTATGTTACACTGGAGCAAAAGCAGCTTTTGATTTCGCCTCCAGGAAATGTGTCGCTTTCTCCACATGCAATTTACCGTAATTGTTTTTTGTTCCATTTTGTGCCCCATTTGTTGCCCTCGCCGTGGAATAAAGTCGTAAACTGTTTCATCAAAAGGCAATCAATATCCTTTATTACTATAAATGTTTGCACAAGTCATCTACAAAAACTCTAGTTATTAGGAAAAAACACTGTTTGCCGTAATCTTGATACACTGCTTGCCATTATTTCACAACTCGAGGGCTTAAAATAGAAAGGATACAGTCTTTCCCTTTGAAAAGGGTTTTTCCATTGATCATTTCTGCCATGATACACCCCACAGACCAGATGTCCACTAGAAGAAACAACAAAGGAAAGAGACATCAGTGAGAACACGAGCAGAATTCGCATCAGTGTTTTAAGACCAGCTGAGTGCAAAAGAACTGAGGAAGGAGGCCTTTCTGTAGCTCTATAATTACAGTTATACGCTTTAGTTCCTGCTCACAAGTGAGCTGAATCTGTTCTGCGGCTAAAACTGGAGGATATCTGGCGAGTAATGTCTTCCAGAGCAGGGTGTAAACCTGCTCTCTGTGCTGCATTATGCCAGAGGAGGCTATTTGCGAAACGAAAAGCAGCCATCGCTTATGGAGCAATAAATCCTGGCACAGTCAGTCCTATTGCACTGACAATTTGGTCGCTGAGCTATCAGGCTGCTGCCAGACCTGCCTGTATCCAACGCTAAGAGAGTGGAGGGAAAGGGAAGGGTGCCGTTCCCAGAAAGATGCCCGTGCATCCTCAAAAGCGTTCCAGGAGCTAGTGACAGGGTCCATTAAACGCCAGCACGAAAAAAAACCCCCCACTAACAGTTAAAGCACAGAGAGGCCCACAGCGAGCTGAGTTTATGGAGTAGCTACAATGCTCTTGCCAGTCTGGGTGTAGTGCATCCAGTTCAGAATGACCTCAGGCGCCCGGTACCAACGGGTCACCACGTAGCCCGTCATCTCCGCGTCGGTGCTGCGGGCCAGCCCAAAGTCCAGGATCTGCAGCAGCGGCACAGAACCCCATCACAGTCTGGACCGCAAGCACAACACTCAACAGACATTTGTTTTTACGTCCGATCAAAGGGAAGCTGCTCAGATCTTTGTGCCGACGGGGGGTGACACGTGTTTGTGAAACTGGGATTTCTGATGATGACAGACGCACTGCCACGCGTCCTTAGACATACAAACCTTCAGTTCGCAATCTTGATTGACGGCCAAGTTTCCAGGCTTGAGATCCTGTTGAAGAAAAGGAGCTGAGCGAGGGTCATTCAACACACAGTAATAAGGTAGAAATCACAATGAATGGACTACACCCGCTTACGGGGGCCGGGGAAAATACCTCAGCTCCTGTTGGCCAACATAGTTCAGCCCTTTGTCTGAATATATAAATACTTTTCATTTTTTAATATGATCATGTCACTCTGCTATAAGTCAATCATACAACACTGTGAGGCTTTTTTCGACATAATATACGATATAATATACTGTCAGAGACAAACAAATGTTTACATCTCACTAGATATGAATTTCTCTATCTAAAGTTTGCATAATAAATGACTATCATTATCAAAATCACTAAAATAAAAAAATAAAAACCAAAAAGGGAAAAATAAAACAGAATTAAGACGAGTGACCAATTACAGGAACTTAACAGTTGAAAGAAGTGCTTAGGTCGGCCGTAATTCAGGCATGTTGGGACTGTTTTCAAGTTTGCTTCAGTTTCAGCCTTTTTAATTTGTCGGAAGTTTGATTGCTTCACCAAGAATGCTCGTCAAAATAGTTGGGGACCATTTTGGAAAAAATCCATGCGGAGTTGGAAACCGAGGAAAGCGGAAGCATGCAATAGCAGCTCCGTCTTAAAAACCTGGGACTGAGTGATGTAAGTGTTGGCATAACATCGCTTTTAAGGCTCCACACACATTCGCAGGTCTTGACGCCGGAGCTTAAAGGCGTGGCCAAACATTCTGAGACATGCAGGCGCACTGCGGAGGACTCAACCGATCCTACCTGTCGGGGCAGAGTTTGAGCCCACTCGCTAACAGTGATTAATCAACTAAACATTCCCAAAGCTGATGAGATATGAATCTGGTAACTGACATTTAGAAAATGCATTAACCACCTCGGTACTGAATGCACACTTGTAAAACAAAAAAACAACAACAATAAAGCTCCTTAAATGCGTTATTCTTCCCTCAGCTCTGATCACATGCCGGCGTGCACTCACCCTGTGGATGATTCCCGCCTTGTGAATGTACTGCAAAGACAGAAACAAAGCAGGTAGAACAGGCATTTTTATAGGATATCCAAAATGTAGGAATTTTATGTTCTCTTAAGTTTGAAGCCATGAGGAGTTTGACCCGTTTCACCCATGCGTGTCTTTCCTTTTTCACCTGTGTACTTTCCAATAATCATGCTAAATGGATCATTTCAAAGTGTCTGCTTGAACTTTGAATGCTTGAGGATGGAGTTATGGGTGGAAGACTCACCCGAAGTCCACAGAGCATCTGGTAGACCAGAAACTGGACTCTGTCTTCGGAGAGGTGCCCCCGCACCTTTGACAGGTCGGTGAACATGTAGGGCATCACCAGATAGCTGGGAGAAGGATGAGAGAGGCAGGGACAGCGAGAAGTCGCGTTGGTCAGCACGTCGTGGCAGTTTCCACGTTTTCAACACGCGAGTTTTTGTGTGTGTTAAAGGTCACACTCAACAAGCTGTCATCTCTAGAGGCCAAAATCTACCCAGTGTGAAGTTTTTATCTACCAAAATATGACCGTTCAATTGGAAACCAACCTACCAGGCATTCATTAGGTCTGAAAATAAAGCAAGTGCTCAGAGATTTATTGTTTTTCTTATTCACTTCACACCCACGGTGCTTTTGGGAGGGTTTTCTGAAAATCCGCATGAATTTATCATAAAAATGATAAAAATTTGGTTAAAAAAACAACTAATTTGCCATTGCTTGCATATGCAGTCATGCTATCAATTTGGCTCCATTTTCTCAGGTGTATGTGACAGACTTTGGTCAGAATACAGGCTTAAGCCCACGGCTCTGGTCTGGCCCCTGTTTTCACAGCTGTCTGTTAACAGGAGAGCTGGAAACTCGCCGTTAGCTCCGCCCGCACTCCCCCAGCAGCCCCTCACTCACGCTCCCGAAAAGTAACAGAAAAAAAGGTTATCTTTACGTCGTCTTGAGTGCACGAGGCGTTCAGTTACCGCTTTGTGCAAAGATAAACAATTAAAGGAAGTGGAATTATTTCAGAGGTGCCGTTTCCCCTGTTGGAAGTGCAGCCACTGAGAGCTGGGCCGAGCTGTTGGAACATGAAAAGTGGGAGCCGCACGATGCACGGTCTGCTGCCAAACCTTTCCGGGGACATTACCCTTGTATAAATGAGCCTTTATCTGGCGGCCTCTTATGCCCACTGAGGCTGGCGGTGGATGGAAGAGGCATGCTCCTCATTACCTCTGACAGCGGAACATTTCCACATGAAGGGGGCCTTATCGGACGGTGGATGAAGGTGGGACTCAGAGGTGGACGCTGAACAGCCGAGGGGGGAGTGAACTTGACAAGCGACATCTTTTCGAGATGAAAAAACGGGTCGTTTTCTGAGGAGCTTTGTATAAGAAAGGGGATTGTGGTTGTATATAAGTGATGTTTTTCACTTCCTGGTGAATTCAGACACCTAAATATGCTCCCAACAACAGAAAAATATATTTTTTCCTATAATATGTGAACTTTAGGTGTAAAATAATTCGTATTTCCATTGTGTTTAAAATACAGATGTGTGCATGTGTTTCATTTGATGGGAATGCCTTTAGTTATGGCTGCTTTGTAGATTTGGTTTTTCTTTTGAGCTGTCAGTTTTTTTGCTTGGGCCTAAATTCCCATTAAGGTGCATAAAACACACCCGTGCACCAGATACGTAGAAGATAACAGTCCGTTTTCGACATGGGAGAACGCGCTTTCGCCGGTATCAGGATACTTTTCCTAAAAAAACTGAATTTCCTCCCTCAACTGTCAAGAGTATCGTGTTAGAACATGTAAAACAAAACAGAACAAAACGCTCAAACAGGAAGAGAATGTATGTTAGAGACGTTTCACTTAGCTAAGTCCACCTTAACAAACAGGTGAAGACTAAACTTCCAGGTCCTTATTAGGTATTGCTGCTGTGTCAAAAATACTCACAAGTCTTGGAAGTCGTCCAGGCCCGAGGCAGGTGTGAATACATCCAAAAGTCCTATTACCTGGATGCAATCAGACAGACGAGAAACCAATAAAATGGTGCAGACATGACAACAAATGAGCTTTCATAAAGCTACCATAAAGCCACTCCAGGGCCATAAACCCACGTGCAGCCCACAGTCTGCTTGTCAGAGGGATCAGTTTACTCACGTTTTCATGCTTCATGTGTTTGAGTAGCCGGAGCTCTCTGTAAGCCCTCTTTGCAAAGATCTCTGACTGGAATGGCCTGTGGAGCTTCTTGATGGCCACTTTCTCCTTAGTCTTCTCATTTATCGTTGAGCTGTGGCGGAAGATGAAAGGTTCAATAGCGCGCCATCGGCCCGGCGCTTTAAAAGTGTCATTATTATTTCACTAAGTCTGAGTGGTGGGAGTGACTGGTGGACTGTTTGAGGTTCCGCTTTGACTCAGGACTGAGCAGAGGCCCTAAGCCGTACAGTAGGGCGGCACAGAGTCGTGGTCTGTTGTTTTCGAGTACCGAAATGGAACTCTTGATGTGCACGCTTGCAGTATTCACCAACATGTGGGAGTAGAGGTTTGTTCAACAATTCAGAGTCATATCCACCGACACACACTACACAAATCACTTGCGTGTGGTGCTGTTGACAAACCTGATGCTGCGACACAGGATATTTTAGATGCTATGAAGTCATGTAAATGAGCGAGTACATCCTCTTCAAAATGTCAGGCTTTACATAATCAAATAAAAGGGCAAAAGAGGTCTTCGCAAGTCTTAAGAATAATAACACGAGCATAACAAAAACACAATTTATACTCAGTTATTACCAACACATTTCAAATAGGCTGTGGTCTGGACTTTGACTGGCTACTGCAAAACGTTCATTCTTTTCTTTTTCAGACATTCTGCTGAAGATTTGCTGCCGTGTTTGGGATCATTTCCTGTAGCATGACCCAGTTTCAGTTAAGCGTTAGCTTTTGGATTAATGCTCTCACATTAAACTCCAGAAGACTTTGGTATACAGAGGGGGTCATGATCGACTCGATAACTGGAAGGTGTCCAGCTCCTGCGGCTGAAAAATGACCTTAAAATCGTTGTGTCAGTATTTTCCTAATTATAGTGAAGAACGATGGACTTTAGAAAGCTCAGAAATCGGGCTTATTATCCTCTCCTAGTTTAGTGGGCACCAACTATCTGTTTTCTAAGATAACTGCTGATGTCTTTTTCTTCTTGGCATTGCACTGACACGTTGCATTGCTTTTACATTCTGGCTTAGTGTAAATTAAAAATAAAGCGCCGTAAAATGTCAACGTGGTGTTGACCTGAGCCAGGTGTCTAACCACTAAGACCTGTCTTCTCAAAATGTTGATTTGCTCCAGATTTTCTTGTTCACGTGCCTGCACACGGCTGCCAGAAAATGTCTGCAAAATGTACGGTGAGAGCAAAATGGAACTGTTCCGCTATCTCCCTGGTTTGCGCTTTCCCACATGACAAATCTGGGGGGGGGAAAAAGACAGGTAAAGCTCACCCAATTCAAGAGGTGCTTCCATTTTTTTAAACTCCCACATGACTTATTCGAGGAATAAGGTGAGGATAGTTTTTGTCTTCACTGTCAACACTGTTTAATGATCAATCTGTCATAAGGCTGAATAGGAGTTATTTCTATCTCCAACTCATCTGATCCTTTGTAATAGATACATTATCAGCATGTAAATGCTGATAATACAGAGCTATCTGCTCCACTGGTGTCCAAGGAGATACATTTACAAGGCTGTGTGTGTTCTTCGTGCAGAGAAACAGAGTGAAGATGGGAAGATGTTGTAAGATCTTGAAGGTGGTCGTTCGTTTAAGCTGGCTGTCTAAGGCTGACCCCCCCATGCCCACTTCCAGGACGCGGCCCCCCCGGTCCCCGCGCGCACACCTTAGACGTCGGTCACTCACCACACCGAGCCGTACGCCCCGGTCCCGATCTGTTTCAGCCGCGTGTACTTCTCCGGGACTTCCCACACCGTGCTGTTGATCTCCTCGCGGGAGAAATGCGCCTGAGCCTCCATGATGAAGGGAAGGGGAGCGGGCGCAGCGACGGAAAACTTCTCCTCCCTCCCACGGCTCGCCTGTCACTTACCGTACCGAGACGGTAAAAGCAAAACAGTGTTCAAGCGCCGGGTGTTACGCTCACTTCCGGTGTCGGCGTTCAAAAATACACGCCTGCTGATAAATACAAATAAACTGAATACAAATGTAGTTTTGGGCATGGGAAAAAAAGGGATGACATTTTAATATAAAATCTAATTACGTGTAATTTAAATTTTCCTCCAAGTTGAATTTAACCTCGATCATTTCATAAAAATCCGGCTGTACTGTGTCCTAAAACCTGTCAGCTGCCTTTTAAAATTAATATTGGTTTTGGTTTCAAGGCTATTTTTGCAGGATTTTATTTTATTTTTAAAAATATACCAGACCGATGAAAACAAACAGCTCGGTTTGAAAGGAACACACAGCCACTTCCGGTTTGAGGTTGAAGCTGAATTTACACAGCGCCTCTACGGCTTCAGACCAATTTGACTTAGGACACTGGATCACTGTTATAGGTTACAAAAAATCCCGCGTGGCTGTTTCACGTGTGGTCACGCTTGACAAGGAAATGTTTTAGACCGTGTGGCAAATCCCCCAAAACGCGGTCACCGCTCAGACCATGAGAAACATCCCTCGGCTTGCTTGTTGAAACATGCCAACATGACTCGTTTTTCTCCCACCCACACATTGTAGGTGTTACTTGTCATGAATAATTACCGTATATTGCCAGAAATGAATGAATCACGATAGCCTACAGCGGGATATTCACACTTACAAAGATGTACAAGAACATGGAAGCCTGCATATTTGGACTTTGGACACGTAGACTGTAGTTTTATGATCAGATTAACAGCAAGGAGGGTGCCTCTCCAAACTTTATCTTTAAACCTTGCATGTAATAAACAGCTGAGTGTAATTGAGAATACGGATATTTGCTTTGATCAGCATGGAATCAGATCCTTAAAATGCTTTGAAGCCCTCTGAGCATTCACTTGTCTGAGCTTGTTGAGGACCAGATGGGTGTTGTAAGCAAGCAGAGACAATGTGAATGTCTGAGCTGCTTCAAGTCTATTGGCTCCACTTGAACTTTTGGCTTTAATTTAATGTTATGTATTATATACCAAATAATTTGGAATTTATCAGGAAAATGCAAACACACACATATGTGCACTAACCTATTAATGCTTACAAAACTGATATATACCGAATGCCCGGTAAAGTAATGAGAATAACGTGAGCTGTTTTCTGGCCTATTGATCTGCAATGCCCCTTAAAGATGAGTCAACACTGCACTCATATAGCAGGACATTGGTTAAAGGAAAAATAGTTGATATGACTGTTTTGAAAAGGTTTCTCCATAATGGTGCAAAAATGAAAATACTACATCTGCAGGTTGAAAGCGTCGTGAATCAATAGCAGTGACTCAGCCTTTGCTTGGCAAGCAACTGAACTTTTGTGCTTTCAAAACCCACTTTGCAGCCTCTGCCTCTGGAGTGAAAACACCAACTACGGTTTCAAAACCTCCTCTGAAAAATGTAGTTTAGTCATTTGAAGGTGGAAAGTAAACCAGAGAAAGGGATGAAAAATAATACAACCGAGCAGTACAAATCTAATCTGATTTTCTTTTCTCCTGAACATTAAAATGGCCATTTTCTAGACTAATTCAGTGTGTGTTTTGGTCTCTTGGACTCTTGGTTGTCTTGCTTTTGTGCATAATATAATACATCTTCTTCTCCTTAATCAGGGCACCATTACTGTGGATTTTCAGGCCTAATTAAACTATATTCAAGCTGATTTGGTTTGTTAGTAATGGATTGCCTTTAAAATGAGCAATTTCTTTGTAACTCCAGGGGAACATGAAGAATCGCCTTGATACTCAAGCTAAACTCCTGCATTTCTGCATTCCTGTTATTTTTCATCCTCCCCTTCTTCTTTCCCTTTCCCATCACCTCTTTTCACAAAACTACCACCTTGTTAGGTTTTATCTGGCAGTTAATGTGTCTTTATCTGCTGAATGTTGAGGTTTGTACTCTCCCTATCTGCATATTTCACATCCCCCATGTGCAGCTGGTGTCCTTGATACTACATGTGATGTTTTTGTGTAGTCCATGGTTATGATTCCTGGAAGTTTATTCTTCCCAACTTTGGATTTTAGTACCTAGTATATGGCTTTTTTGATTGATTCTTCTTGTCTTAATACTTATATTCCCCTTTTATTAATTTAATTGTTTTTATTTTTATAAATATACTAAGCAGTATGCAACGTGATGTATATACATGTATGGGTATATATGACATTGTGAAAATTGTAGAAGTTAAATGTATTGATTTATGAATTAATTAATCTATCTATCCTATTTTGTGACGGGCCTTGGAACTTTTTCTAGTTAATGCTGCTGCACAAGAGGCTCAACATGTACTCTGTTTATGAATTAATCGTTTTTTAATCCATTTTTTTAAATTAACTTATTAAATGATTGTTTTTTGTTAAACAAACTCTATTAGAAAAATTTGAAACAGCCTCTTCCAGATTATTTCAGACTGCAATGCTGGGCTTGGTGCCAGCAAGGCCACAAAAAACATTTCATGCTTGAAATCCAGCATGTTTTTATGCATGAGAACTGCCCAAATGACAGGTTTTTCTTTGGCAGCGTTTGCAGAATATCAGCTTGTCTAAACTGTCCACTTCTCTCTGCATGCACCATCATTATTTGGTACAATTTCTGTGCTCCAGTGATAATTTTTAAAGCCATTTAGAAAATATCCTCCGAGTAGTATGACAGTCCTGTCAGATTTTGTTGTAATCTATCATCCGATCTTGAGCCCTTTAACATGATGAATGCAAAGATTGGGCTTCTGGTGGGGCGAGGGGGAAAGTAGATATGTAAATGGTTTATTTGCAGCGAAATGGCACAATTTCATGATAATCTGTTCTACTGCCTGACAGCAGGCAGTTACACCATTAACACTGCATATCTGAATGTAGAGCGTAATGGACTTTAACCTAATGCTACACCAACAAAAGCCAAACCTCTTATTAGTCTGAAAACAATCCAGTGATTTTGACTTAATCCAATTTGGTGGATCTCTCTAACACACTTGGCCTACACAGAAAAGAAACACTAAAGCATTACATCGTAAAACAATATCTCTAAAATCAGTGCTACTATATTTGTTGTGTGTGGAAGTTAAAAAGGTACTTCACATCCTAATTTCTTTAAAGTCTGGAAACTTTCCATTATTCTTGGAGACAGTATCCTTCTGTGGAGCTGTGCATTTCATCTATTGGATTGAGTCTAGTATAGAGGCACATTATACAGTGAGTAAAGCTGCCTACTCTGCATTGTTCTGTGTTATTACTTGGCTGCCTGCTGGCTAATATATCCAAAATTGGAAAAACCCAATTTGACAGGCATCTGTTGTCTGTCTGCTGTTGCCAAAAGTAATCATGAATCCATTTTCTTCACTCTCTTTATTTGCATTTGCCAGTATTTTGGGGTCATCTCCAAAAATAGTTTCCATCTACTGCGAACAGAGAGACACTCTCAGTCTGTCTGCGTAAATGTCAGCTAAATACCACATTTGAGAGATTTTTTAAGATAGCTGAGATACCACACTGAGGATTTTGATTAAGGTCTATCTGAATGAATCAAAATAGCCTATCTGAAATCAATGCACCAAAACTGTATGCGAGCTAGACTATATCTGATGAGTTAGACATTAATACATGAAATTTCTCAAATTTGGTGATGAAAATTGATAACGAAAATTGTCGATATGTATCTCTTCCTAAGGTCATTATAAGCTAAAATATCTTCTGTTAGGTCAGGTGATTTGTGAATGTGAAGCGAAATGGAGAGAATGCCCTTAATAAAAGATGCAAATTGAGTAAAAGGAGGAACAAAATATTATACAGACTTCAGCTACAGTGAGATTCATCCACTCTATGAACTCTGCTTGACTAAGAAGGATGCATCATACATTTTTAAAAATGTCAATTTAGTTTAGTTTTGCCAGGGATGAAGTCCTATTTGAAGAAGATATGATTTCCAAAGTTTGAATCCTGAACTGTCTGCCCCTTCTCTCCATATGCTGATACAGGCCATATTAAATATTTGCGACATTAAAAAAACAAAACAAAGATTGATGAGTTTTTAAATAGAAATGACAGATTCACCACACCGCTACACACATTTACCTATCAGTGCAAATCATCTGACATCACCGGCCACAGGTGTCGACACATCAAATTATGTCATAACCAGGCAGCGACTCGGTGCTTTGTTGAGCTTGGTTAAAATAATCCACAAGATGGAGCAAGTGAGCCACAGGAAGAACACAATCTGAGTGTAGCAATTTTGTTTTTATGACTGTATGTAATGTTTAAATCTTTATCTGCATTACCAGTTTATAGAAAACAAGCCAAAATCAGAGATATGCGCCGGCTTTGATGGTTAAAAAAAGATCCACACCACAACCCAGTCTAGAAATAATTTTTTTCCCTTGTAATTTCACTCAGATAATGTGAGAGCATGTAAAGATGCTGATCCTTTCCTTCAGCAGTTGCTTCTACTCTGCTAATGCTAATTACTAATTTCTATTCTTTATTCATGACAAATCAGTAATGCAAAATGCATCTGTTCTTGTGTGAAGGTGGAAAGATTTCCACACTAACGGCTTCAAACAGCTAAAAGCTTTCATTACTTTGCTCAATAATTGGCAACAGATCCAAAGTGAGTGAATGAGACAGTAGTAGATGACGCGTTTATTTATGTGAACATGTCACAGAGTATTATTCTAAAAGAAAAAAAAAAAGCCCCAGGGTCGCTCACTGCATCAGCTCTATTCAAACAGGGTAGACTGGTTGAGAATAAAATAACTTGGCTTGTCCTCTGTTTTTGCTTGTAATGCAGATACAGTGACTTGACTGGTGGCTTACATGTGGACAGGACAAAGTCAGACATACATATACATAAACATCACTACAAGCATAAATGCACACATCAGGAGTCACACGGTCACGCACTCTCTCGGAGCTCGTTCACCCCCCCACCCTCCCTCCCGCACGCCAGTCAACACATCTGACGGAATCTTTTCGAGCGAAATTT